CTCCTCTTCCGCCCCCCCTCCCTCTTCCTCTTACCCTCTTGCTTCTTCTCCCTTGCTCCCCTCTCAGCGATTTGAGCCGCAACAACTTCCAAGGCCCCCTGCCCCTTGCCCTCTTCACCACACATCCTGAGCTGGTGACCATGTGAGTGCTCGTCACCACTCAGCACCACTCAGCGCCACTCAGCACCACTCAGAGTCACTCAGCACCGCTCTGCCCCTGAGACTGTGAGAGCTGGTGATCATGTGTGTGCTTGTCACAACTCAGCAGCAAGCAACGCTCTCCCCTGACTGAGAGTGTGATGCTCCTGAGAGTGAGGGTCTGACCTTTTTCTGGGATGCATGCGTTTTGCAATCATGCTTGAAATGCTTGAATTGTGTTTGTCATAGCCCACCACGCCACCCCCCCCTCCTCCCCTCCCCTCCCCTCCCCTCCCCTCCCCTCTCCCTCTCTCTCTCGTTCCCTCCACTCCCTCCCTCCCCTCCCCCCCCTCCGCTCACCTCCCCTCCCCTCCCCTCCCCTCCCCTCCCCTCCCTCTCCTCTCTCCGTTCACTCCACTCCCTCCCTCCCCTCCCCACCCTCCCCTCCCCTCCCCTCCCCTCCCTCCCATCCCTTCCCCTCAGAAATCTAGCTTGGAACCATCTCAGCAGCAGCCTCCCCCCCATGCTGCCCTCAGCCAACCTCACGAGACTGCACTCCATGTGAGAAAGCATTGACTCTGGCAATAGTGAATGATTATTACTTACAGGTGCTATTGTTGCTCTCTCCACTGCTCTTACCTGTTGAATGCAAAGGAGCTGCAGTTTTGTTGGGAGGGAGAAGAATAGAGATTTTTTAAATAAATTAACTAATACCAAAAAAGAAAGAAAGAAAAAAAAAAGCCTGTTGAATTAGAAGAAGCTGCAGTTTCGTTGTGAGGGACAGGAACTGGAGCTTACACTTGTCCAGGAGATTGGCCAATCTAAGGCGACTTCTTCTGAGTCGGCTCAAAAGTCACCGCGAACAGAGATTGCACTTGTCCAGGAGATTGGCCTCTTCAAAACAAGTACAAATCTTTTAGGATCCAGCTGATCTCTTTCCTGCTGCCTCCTTGTCCTTCTGCCTCCTTTCCTGCCACTCTCTCCCCTGGGACTCCCTCCCCTGCTGCTATTCCCGTTCCTGCTACCCAAATCCCTTGTCTTGTTCCTCCCAGTATTCTATCAGACAACAACCTCACGGGCCCCTTGCCTCCTCTGGACGCCCTCCCTGCCATCGCCACCATCTCCCTTAATGACAACCACTTCACGCGCGCGCCTGCTGCTCCCTTCCTTGCTGGTCTCTCCTTCTGCTCCCCTCCCCCTCCCCCCTCGCAGTATCCTATCAGACAACAATCTCACAGGCCCCGTGCCGCCTCTGGACTCCCTGCCTGCCATCGCCACCATCTCCCTTTATGACAACCACTTCACGCGCGCCCCTGCTGCTTTGCTCAGCAACGACAACGTCACTCTGCAGTGAGTTTTGACTCGAATCCTCGGATGCTCGCTCTCTCATTCACGCTCGCACCCGCTTCCCCGGCAGCTCCCCCCATGGCAACACTTCCCCTGCGCCTGCCACTGCTGCCCTGCGCAGCAAGGAAACGTCACTCTGTAGTGAGTGATCTGCACTTGGTCAGTCAGTCATGCACTCACTCACTCGCTCACTCGCTCACTCACTCACTCACTCACTCGCTCACTCACTCACTCACTCGCTCGCTCGCTCACTCACTCACTCGCTCACTCGCCCACTCGGCCACCAGTGTGCCTACTCTTCCTGTGCCACTCAGCAGCAACCCACAATGCCCCCTTCGCACCCCCTCCCTCCCCATCCCATCTCTCCAGGCTATACGGCAATGACTTGTGTGTGCCCTACCGCCCTGAGGTCACCACAGCCTGCTCGCCCCCTCTCACCATCATGCAGTATCAGCCCCCTCCCATATGCGACGACCTCTCTTATCCCTCCTTGTACTGCCATTCCTGTTCCAACCCCGCTTGTTCCTTTCACCCCCCTCCCTCCAGGCTATACGGCAATGACTTGTGTGTGCCCTACCGCCCTGAGGTCACCACAGCCTGCTCGCCCCCTCTCAGCATCATGCAGTATCAGCCCCCTCCCATATGCGACGACCTCTCTTATCCCTCCTTGTACTGCCATTCCTGTTCCAACCCCGCTTGTTCCTTTCACCCCCCTCCCTCCAGGCTATATGGCAATGACTTGTGTGTGCCCTACCGCCCTGAGGTCACCACAGCCTGCTCGCCCCCTCTCAGCATCATGCAGTATCAGCCCCCTCCCATATGCGACGACCTCTCTTATCCCTCCTTGTACTGCCATTCCTGTTCCAACCCCGCTTGTTCCTTTCACCCCCCCTCCCTCCAGGCTATATGGCAATGACTTGTGTGTGCCCTACCGTCCTGAGGTCACCACAGCCTGCTCGCCCCCTCTCGGCATCATGCAGTATCAGCCCCCTCCCATATGCGACGACCTCTCTTATCCCTCCTTGTACTGCCATTCCTGTTCCAACCCCGCTTGTTCCTTTCACCCCCCCTCCCTCCAGGCTATATGGCAATGACTTGTGTGTGCCCTACCGTCCTGAGGTCACCACAGCCTGCTCGCCCCCTCTCGGCATCATGCAGTATCAGCCCCCTCCCATATGCGACGACCTCTCTTATCCCTCCTTGTACTGCCATTCCTGTTCCAACCCCGCTTGTTCCTTTCACCCCCCCTCCCTCCAGGCTATATGGCAATGACTTGTGTGTGCCCTACCGTCCTGAGGTCACCACAGCCTGCTCGCCCCCTCTCGGTATCATGCAGTATCAGCCCCCTCCCATATGCGACGACCTCTCTTATCCCTCCTTGTACTGCCATTCCTGTTCCAACCCCGCTTGTTCCTTTCACCCCCCCTCCCTCCAGGCTATATGGCAATGACTTGTGTGTGCCCTACCGCCCTGAGGTCACCACAGCCTGCTCGCCTCCTCTCAGCATCATGCAGTATCAGCCCCCTCCCATATGCGACGACCTCTCTTATCCCTCCTTGTACTGCCATTCCTGTTCCAACCCCGCTTGTTCCTTTCACCCCCCCTCCCTCCAGGCTATATGGCAATGACTTGTGTGTGCCCTACCGTCCTGAGGTCACCACAGCCTGCTCGCCCCCTCTCGGCATCATGCAGTATCAGCCCCCTCCGGTCTGCGACGACCTCTCTTATCCCTCCTTGTACTGCCATTCCTGTTCCAACCCCGCTTGTTCCTTTCACCCCCCCTCCCTCCAGGCTATATGGCAATGACTTGTGTGTGCCCTACCGTCCTGAGGTCACCACAGCCTGCTCGCCCCCTCTCGGCATCATGCAGTATCAGCCCCCTCCCATATGCGACGACCTCTCTTATCCCTCCTTGTACTGCCATTCCTTTTCCAACCCCGCTTGTTCCTTTCACCCCCCCTCCCTCCAGGCTATATGGCAATGACTTGTGTGTGCCCTACCGTCCTGAGGTCACCACAGCCTGCTCGCCCCCTCTCGGCATCATGCAGTATCAGCCCCCTCCCATATGCGACGACCTCTCTTATCCCTCCTTGTACTGCCATTCCTGTTCCAACCCCGCTTGTTCCTTTCACCCCCCCTCCCTCCAGGCTATATGGCAATGACTTGTGTGTGCCCTACCGTCCTGAGGTCACCACAGCCTGCTCGCCCCCTCTCGGCATCATGCAGTATCAGCCCCCTCCGGTCTGCGACGACCTCTCTTATCCCTCCTTGTACTGCCATTCCTGTTCCAACCCCGCTTGTTCCTTTCACCCCCCCTCCCTCCAGGCTATATGGCAATGACTTGTGTGTGCCCTACCGTCCTGAGGTCACCACAGCCTGCTCGCCCCCTCTCGGCATCATGCAGTATCAGCCCCCTCCCATATGCGACGACCTCTCTTATCCCTCCTTGTACTGCCATTCCTGTTCCAACCCCTCTTGTTCCTTTCACCCCCCCTCCCTCCAGGCTATATGGCAATGACTTGTGTGTGCCCTACCGCCCTGAGGTCACCACAGCCGCTCGCCCCCTCTCAGCATCATGCAGTATCAGCCCCCTCCCATATGCGACGACCTCTCTTATCCCTCCTTGTACTGCCATTCCTGTTCCAACCCCGCTTGTTCCTTTCACCCCCCCTCCCTCCAGGCTATATGGCAATGACTTGTGTGTGCCCTACCGTCCTGAGGTCACCACAGCCTGCTCGCCCCCTCTCGGCATCATGCAGTATCAGCCCCCTCCGGTCTGCGACGACCTCTCCTGCCCCTCTCTCTACGCGCCCAGCCCTCCCCTGCTGGCTCTCACCAACGTGTGTGTGTGCGTTTCGCCGCTGGAGGTGGAATTGAAACTCACTGCGCCGCAGTACGCGGTGTTTAATGACGACCTAGCGAGTCTGCTTGTAGAGAGGATCGCGGGGAGCCTGGGGAAGAACGGGATCGGCATTTCGACGGGACAGGTGGGTGTGGTGGCAGGTGGGTGTGGTGGCAGGTTGGTTTGGTGGCAGGTTGGTTTGGCGGCAGGTTGGTTTGGCGGCAGGTTGGTTTGGCGGCAGGTTGGTTTGGTGGCAAGTTGGTTTGGTGGCAGGTTGGTTTGGTGGCAGGTTGGTTTGGTGGCAGGTTGGTTTGGTGGCAGGTTGGTTTGGTGGCAGGTTGGTTTGGCGGCAGGTTGGTTTGGTGGCAGGTTGGTTTGGTGGCAGGTTGGTTTGGCGGCAGGTTGGTTTGGTGATAAGTGGGATTTGTGATAGGCGGAGACAGGACAGGTATATTTTGTGGGCATTTGAGTTTGGTGGAAAGTAAGTTCCCCCTCTGCACTCTCTCCCCTCCCCGGTAACCCCCCACTCCACACACCCACCACTCAAACCCCATAGTATCAGATTGCCATAGTATCAGTCACCGGGTCTATCCTCTCCCCTTCCACCATCATCCATTTCCCTCTCTTTCCCCCTCTCCCCCACTACCCCCATCCCAATCCCCACAACAGATCACCATAGTGTCAGTCAGCGGGTCTATCCTCTCCCCTTCCACCATCATCCTCTCCCTTCTCTTCTTCGCGTTTTCCCTCATTCCCCCACCCCCCCCCCCCCCCTCGTGATAAAAGAGTTGTTTTGAGACGTCTCAAAACAACTCTTTTATCACGTGGCCTTGTCTTCTTCGCGTTTTCTCTCATTCCCCCACCCCCCCCTCACCCATTCTCCCTTTCGGTCTCTCCCTCCCCCCACTAGTCCTCACATAAACTCCCCATCACCCAATCCCCAACAACAGATCGCCATTGTGTCAGTCACTGGGTCTACCCTCTCCCCTTCCACCATCATCCATTTCCCTCTCTCTCCCCCTCTCCTCTACTCCCAACCCAACAGCACAACCCCGCCAACAGATCTCCATAGTGTCAGTCAGCGGGTCTATCCTCTCCCCTTCCAGCATCAGCACCACCATCCGCTTCTTCCCCCATTTCCCCGGGCCTCTTTTGAGGCGCCTCAAAAACTTCTTCCCCCATTCTCCCTTGCCTCCCTCACCATTGCCCCTCTCGGTGACTTTTGAGACGACTCAAAAGTCACCTCGTTACTATGGGACTCAAAAGTCACCTCGTTACTATGGGACTCAAAAGTCACCTCGCTACTATGGGACTCAAAAGTCACCTCGTTACCATGATGGCACGCGACATTTCACCATCCTCTTCTTCCCCCAATCCCCCGGGCCTCCCTCACCATTGCCCCTCTCGGCCTCTCCTTTCCCTTCCCCCACTTGTCCTCACATAAACTCCCCATCCCAAACCCCACTACAGATTGCCATAGTGTCAGTCAGCGGGTCTATCCTCTCCCCTTCTAGCATGAGCACCACCATCCGCTTCTTCCCCCCACCTCCTCCTCCTCCTCCTCCTCCTCCTCCTCCTCCTCCTCCTCCTCCTCCTCCTCCTCCTCCTCCTCCTCCTCCTCCTCCTCCTCCTCCTCCTCCTCTGCTGCTGCTGCCACCACCCCTGCTAGCAGCACCAGCGCCAGCAACGGCTACAGCAGCAGCAGCACTAGCAGCACTAGCAGCAGCAACAGCTACAGCTACAGCAGCAGCAGCAGCAGCAGCAGCAGCAGCAGCAGCAGCAGCAGCAGCACACCACCACCCCTGCCAGCAGCAGCAATGCTACTACTACCAACTCTGAATGGCAGCAGGCGCAGCAGATAAGGGAGGCCTTCGTGTGGCACAAGGTGGTGTTCGGGACGGACTTTGGGCCTTATATCGTGGAGGCCATGTATGGGCCAGGTGAGACCTGGGGGAGGTGAGACCCAGTGCAGGTGAGACCTGGGGCAGTGTGTTATACTCCTCACTCCACTTGACAAGGTGGTGCTTGAGACGGACTTTGCGTGGCACAAGGTGCTGCAGGAAACCGACTTTGGTATTGTTCCCCAACCCCCCAACGCTCTGCTCTGCTCTCAACGCTCTACCCTCCCCCCCCCCAACCCCCTTCTTACCCCCAGCTCCCCCGCCCGTCCCCCCTGCTGCGTCTACTGGGGGAGGGGGCATGACCACTGCTGCAATTGTGGGCATCGTAGTTGGGGGAGTGGTGCTCCTCGCTCACTGCTCTTCATTTCCCCACCTCCCCCCGCCCCGCCCCCCCTTACCACCCATCCATCCCCCAGCTCCTCCTCCTGCTCCCCCTGCTGCGTCTACTGGGGGAGGGGGCATGACCACTGCTGCGATCGTGGGCATCGTAGTGGGGGGAGTGGTGCTCATCGCTCTCATTTCGCTGCTGCTCGTGTGGGTGCTGCTGCTGAGGAACCGAAACGGAGGTGAGCCGGTTCATATCCTCTTCTGCGGCTCTGTTACTCTTTCGCTAGTTGCTCCGATTCTCGTGTAGGTGCTTTTTTTGAGGCGCCTCAAAAACGGTCTCGTGTAGGTGCTTTTTTTTTTAGGCGCCTCAAAAACGGTCTCGTGTGCTGCTGTGAAGGAACAGAAACAGAGGTGAGTCCATTTGGTTATGTCTCCTGCTGTTCTGTTGTGATTGTGGGTATCGTGGTGGGGGGGTGTGTGGCGGCGCTCCCTCCCATTCCTCTGCTACTCGTGTGGCTGCTGTTTTCAAGGAACAGAAAGAAACGTGAGTCAAAGTGGTGATGTCCTGTGCTGCTGCTGTTTTGGAGGAAGAGAAACAAGGTGGGTGGTAAATGCCCCTTTCCAAGGGCGCTGATCTGCTGCTGCTGGTGTGGCTGCTGTGCTGCAATGGATCTCGAGCATGGTCAGCCAATTATTTAACTTTTGAGAATTCTCAAAAGTAAAATTCTTGAGCATGGTCAGCCAATTATACAATGTGCACGCTCAGTCAATGTGTGTTCACGCACCCCTTCCCAACCCTCCCCAATCCCTCCTCACCTTTCCTAACCCTGCCAACATCAGACCCGTAAAGCTCAAAGGAGTGCAAAGTGATCGAAGGGCTTCAGGCTCTGGGTGTGCACTGCTGCAAGCTCAGACTGAGGCGAGGCAATATGTATTCCCCACCCCTCCCCACCCATCTCCACCAATCTCCACCCCTCCCCACCCCTCCACAACCCTCCTCCCCACCCCGCCAATATCAGACCTGTGGAGCTCGGAGGACTACAGGGCGATAGAGGGGCTGCAGGCGCTGGGCGTGCACCGGTGCAAGCTGAAGGAGATTGCAGACGCGACCCAGGGCTTCAAGACGCTGCTGGGGGAGGGCGGTTATGGACAGGTATATCTGTGAGGGGGGGGTGTATGGGGTGGGTAGGTGTGAAGGGGGGCGCATTTGGGAAGGTGCAGACAGGTGCAAGCTCACGGAGATTGCAAATGCGACGCAGGGGTTCAAGTCAAGATGCTGCTGGGGGAGGTCTGTGAGGGGGAGGGAGGGCGCATTTGGGAAGGTGCAGACTGGTGCAAGCTCACGGAAATAGCCGACGCCACCCAGAGGTTCAAGACGCTGCTGGGGGAGGGCGGATATGGACAGGTATATCTGTGAGGGGGCGGAGTATGGGGCAGGTATATCTGTGAGGGGGCGGAGTATGGGGCAGGTATGTCTCTCCTACACAGTTGAGACATGGGTAAGTTTTGACCATAACTTTCCTCATGTCTCTTCTCACCACACCCTTTTTCTCTCCCCACTTCTCTGCCCCTCAAATTTGAACCACCCTCAGGTGAACCGACCGAGGAGTGCTGGAGAATGGAGATGTGGTGACATGTGTCTGTCACACCACTTGGGTGCCGGAACTGTGTGGATTTTACTTTTGAGAGTTCTCATACAAGACATACTTTTGAGTAAAATCCACATACGTGTGTGTCAGAACACTTGGGTGCCGGAACTTGAGGCATTTCCCATGCATGCCTTTCCTTTGTCCCATGTCTCCATGTGTGAACCACCCTCAGGTGTACCGAGGAGTGCTGGAAAATGGAGATGTGGTGGCAGTGAAACGAGCAAAGGGGCATGTGAAGGTAAGCCGGGAACACTGTCAGGTGGTCCTTCAGGTGGATGATGAATCTTCAGGTGGGTCATCAGGTGATCGTCACGTAAAACGACGTTGATTGTGCGGGTGTGTAGAGCAGACATCTCCCATGGAGATGTCGACTGACACTTTTGAGTCAGCTCAAAAGCTGTCTAGAGCAGACATCTCCCATGGACGCTGACACGTCAGCAGCTCATCTAGTTTTGAGGCGCCTCAAAACTAGGCTCCCATGGACGCTGACACGTCAGCAGCTCATCAGGTCAGTTCCTTTGGACGTCTGGGTACTGGTCTGCATGGATCAGTTGCGTTGCGGCAGTAGATCTGTGGGACCGAGTTCTGCCAGCGAGATTCAGCTGCTCTCAGCAGTGCGCCACCGCAACCTCATTCCTCTTAGGGGCCTCTCTGTGCGACTCCCACTCCCCTGTCTCTCCCCATCTCCCCTTTCCCCTCTCGCATTCCCTCCCCCAGCTGTGTGGGACTGAGTTTCGCCACGAGATTCAGCTGCTCTCAGCAGTGCGCCACTGCAGCCTCATGGCTCTCAAGGCTTCTGTGCCGCTCCAATTCACTGTCGTTCCCCCACTCTCCCCCTCCCGTCCCTAAAAATGCCCCATCCACCCACCAGCTGTGTGGGACTGAGTTTCGCAACGAGACTCAGCTGCTCTCAGCAGTGCGCCACCGCGACCTCAGGCCTCTCTAAGGCCTTCTCTGTCCCTCCAACTCACTTCTATCTCCCCTCCGCGCCCCCCCCTCTACATGCCCCGCCCACCCACCAGCTCTGTGGCACTGAGTTCCGCAACGAGATTCAGCTGCTGTCAGCCGTGCGCCACCGCAACCTGGTGGCGCTGAAAGGGTTCTGTGTGGAGGCGGGCGAGCAGCTGCTGGTGTATGAGTTTATAGAGAGGGGGACGTTGGAAGATATGCTGAGAGGTGAGTGGGGAGCAGTTGCAAGTAGGGGGGGGGGGGGGACCACCAGTGCACTCAGCAGCTTCTGTGTGGAGGCGGGCGAGCAGCTGCTGGTGTTAATTCCCTCTGATATGCTCCCCGTTGGTTACCCTCTGATATGCTCCCCGTTGGTTACCCTCTGATATGCTCCCCATTGGTTACCCTCTGATATGCTCCCCATTGGTTACCCTCTGGTATGCTGGTGTATGAATTCCCTCTCCTTCCCCCCCCCCCCCCCCCTTTTTGTTTCTGTCATATGACTTTTGTGTCGACTCAAAGGTCAGCTCGGGCGAGCAGCTGTTGGTGTATGAAGTCCCTCTGCTTCTCCTCCCCCCCCCCCTTTTTTTTCTATTATGTTCCCACCAGCCGACTCAAAGCACCAGTTGACGTGGCGGCAGCGCGTCAACATCGCATGTGGAGCAGCCAGTGGGTTTGCATACCTGCATCATCAGATCAAGCCACCTATCATCCACCGGGATGTGAAGGTCAGTGGGGTGGGAACATGGGTCACTGGTCATGAAGAAGAGCTGCAGCGTGAAGGATCGCTTTTGCTAAAGCGATCCTTCACGCTGCAGCTCTTCTTCATGACCAGTGACCGCCTATCATCCACCGGGATGTGAAGGTATGTGTGGTGGGATCATGCATGCATGCATGCATGCGCATGTGTGTCTGGCGTGTGCATGCAAGAAGGTCAACATTGCCTGTGGTGCGGCCAGTGGGTTTACTTACCTGCATTGCCTTTGGTGCGGCCAGTGGGTTTACTTACCTGCATTGCCTGTGGTGCGGCCAGTGGGTTTACTTACCTGCATTGCCTGTGGTGCGGCCAGTGGGTTTACTTACCTGCATTGCCTGTGGTGCGGCCAGTGGGTTTACTTACCTGCATTGCCTGTGGTGCGGCCAGTGGGTTTACTTACCTGCACCATCAGATCAAGTATATTGGAGTGACTTTTGAGAATTCTCAAAAACCTGCACCATCAGATCAAGCCACCTATCATTCACCGGGACGTGAAGGTAGGAGGGAGTGACGGCGTGTGTGAGTGTGAGAATGAACACACATGCTCATCTGTGCACCTGTGGTTCGGCCAGTGGGTTTGCATACCCACCGGGACGAGAAAGTGTGTGCAGTGGGAGAGAACAACTTTTGAGTCGACTCAAAAGTCAAAGTGTGCAGTGGGAGAGAACATACATGCATGCATGCATGCCCACGTGTGCATGTGTGCACATGCAAGCTTGCATCGCTCGATTGCATGGGTTTGCGTACCTGCACCATCAGATCAAGCCGCCCGTTATCCACCGGGGTGACTTTTGAGTCGACTCAAAAGCCGCCCGTTATCCACCGCACCGGGAGGGAGGGGGGGGGGAGTGTGCGTGTGTGCTGCAGCAACATGCATGCTTGCATGCTCGTGTGTGTGCGACGTGTGCATGCTATGCAAGTGCAACACTAACTGCACCATCAGATCAAGCCGCCCATCATCCACCAAGATGTGAAGGTAGGGGGGATTGATGGCGTGTGTGTGGTGCCTTAGCATACATAGTTGCTCATGTGTGTGCGGGCATGCATGCAAGCTTGCATCGCCTGTTTGTTTAGCAACCAGTGGGTTTGCATACCTGCACAATCGGATCAAGCCGCCCGAGTTGACTTTTGAGCCGACTCAAAGGCAACTGCATACCTGCACCATCAGATCAAGCCCCCCATCATCCATTTTTGAGGCGCCTCAAAAGTCGTCTCAAAAATTTTGAGGCGCCTTAAAAGCCCCCCATCGTCCATCACCCACCCCTACCCCCTGGCCCTTTTCCCTCGCTTCCCCCCTCCTTCCGCTCCCCCTCCCCCACACACCATACAGCCAACATCCTCATCACAGCAGATCTCGAGGCACGTATGTGGTGACTTTTGAGTCGACTCACAAGTCAAAAGACCTCTCAGGCGTGGATGGCATATGAGAATTCTCAAAAGACCTCCGAGGCGTGGATGGCATATGAGAATTCTCAAAAGACCTCCGAGGCGTGGATGGCATATGAGAATTCTCAAAAGACCTCCGAGGCGTGGATGGCATATGAGAATTCTCAAAAGACCTCCGAGGCGTGGATGGCATATGAGAATTCTCAAAAGACCTCCGAGGCGTGTATGGCAGACATCTTTGGAGTCAGACTTTGGAACTTTTGAGGCGCCTCAATCAAAACTTTTGAGGCGCCTCAATCAAAACTTTTGAGGCGCCTCAATCAAAACTTTTGAGGCGCTTCAATAAAAACTTTTGAGGCGGCTCAATCATAACTTTTGAGGCGCCTCAATCATAACTTTTGAGGCGCCTCAATCAAAACTTTTGAGGCGCCTCAATCAAAACTTTTGAGGCGCCTCAATCAAAACTTTTGAGGCACCTCAATAAAAACTTTTGAGGCGCCTCAATCAAAACTTTTGAGGCGCCTCAATCAAAACTTTTGAGGCGCCTCAATCAGAACTTTTGAGGCGCCTCAATCAAAACTTTCGAGGCGCCTCAATCAGAACTTTTGAGGCGCCTCAATCAGAACTTTTGAGGCGCCTCAATCAGAACTTTTGAGGCGCCTCAATCAGAACTTTTGAGGCGCCTCAATCAGAACTTTTGAGGCGCCTCAATCAGAACTTTTGAGGCGCCTCAATCAGAACTTTTGAGGCGCCTCAATCAGAACTTTTGAGGCGCCTCAATCAGAACTTTTGAGGCGCCTCAATCAGAACTTTTGAGGCGCCTCAATCAGAACTTTTGAGGCGCCTCAATCAGAACTTTTGAGGCGCCTCAATCAGAACTTTTGAGGCGCCTCAATCAGAACTTTTGAGGCGCCTCAATCAGAACTTTTGAGGCGCCTCAATCAGAACTTTTGAGGCGCCTCAATCAGAACTTTTGAGGCGCCTCAATCAAAACTTTTGAGGCGCCTCAATCAGAACTTTTGAGGCGCCTCAATCAGAACTTTTGAGGCGCCTCAATCAGAACTTTTGAGGCGCCTCAATCAGAACTTTTGAGGCGCCTCAATCAGAACTTTTGAGGCGCCTCAATCAAAACTTTTGAGGCGCCTCAATCAAAACTTTTGAGGCGCCTCAATCAAAACTTTTGAGGCGCCTCAATCAAAACTTTTGAGGCGCCTCAATCAAAACTTTTGAGGCGCCTCAAAAGTCCAAGCTGAACGCATACACGCCCCCCTGCCTCCTTCCCTCTCGCCTTCCTCATCCTCATTCCTCCGTTCAACCTCTCCCCCCCTCCCTCAACAGACACACCAACATTCAACAGACGGCCAACATTCTAATTACAGCACACCTCGAAACCAAGGTGGCTGACTCCTGATCACAACATCACTTCCCCTTTCCTCCTGCCCCCTGCCCCCTGTCCCTTGTCCCCTGCCCCCTGTCCCTTGTCCCCTGTCCCCTGCCCCCTGTCCCTTGTCCCCTGTCCCCTGCACCTTCTCCCTCTCCCTCCCCCCTTCCCCCCACCAGACGGCCAACATCCTCATCACAGCAGGTCTCGAGGCCAAGGTGGCTGACTTGGGTATTTTCAAGGCTGAGAGGATGTATATTCTCCCCGCTCCATCTTCCCCCTGCCCTCATCCCTTCCCCTCCCCCCACCAGACGGCCAACATCCTCATCACAGCAGATCTCGAGGCAAAGTTATCTGACTTCGGCATCTCCAAGGCTGAACGCACATATACCCTCATTGCCTTCAGTGCCCTGCCCTCCGCCCCTCTGCCCCCTTATCCCCCTCCCCCTGTGTCCCTCTCCGCCTTTCTCCTCCTCCCCCCACCAGACGGCCAACATCCTCATCACAGCAGATCTCGAGGCCAAGGTGGCTGACTTTGGCATCTCCAAGGCTGTTCCCGAGGAGGCGGAGGGAGGGGGGAGGCTGGAGACCCAGGTCAAAGGGACTGTGGTGAGTGGAGGGTGGAGGGAGGAGGGAGGAGGGAGGAGGGAGGAGGGAGGAGGGAGGAGGGAGTGAGGAGTGTTAGGAGAAATGGTGAGTGCATGTCTTACGTCTAGGGATCAGTAGGAATATCTACAAGGCTGACTTTCGAGTCGACTCAAAAGGCACAGGGACCGTGGTGAGTGGAGTGTTGAGGAAGCGAGGAGTGTTGGGAAAAATGGTGGGTGCAGGGCTTAGGTCTAGGGATCAGTGGGAATATCTACAAGGCTGTGCCAGAGGAGGCGGAGGGGGGGGGGAGGAGAGGTTGGAAACACAAGTGAAAGGTCCAGTGGTGAGTGGAGGATGGGGAGAATGGGGTTGACGGGGAAATGAGCTTCGTGAGTTGCTCAAGTGATAAGCCGCGCTCCAAGGCTGTTCTGTTCCTGAGGAGACGGAGGGATGGGGGAGGCTGGAAACACAAGTGAAAGGACAAGTGGTGAGTGGAATGGGGGGAGGTTTGGGGGGAGGGGATCGTGCTGCTAGAGCTGACCACACTGGCCTCCGCCTGGTGAACATTGGAGAGCATATCAAAAGGATTGTGATCAATAGGGTTACCATGCCATCTACACCCAACGAGGTATTGCGTAATGTTATGGCTGCGCTCTCTTTATCCTCTCTCTTCCCCCCCCCCCCACCCCTTTCCGTCTCACGGGATATCTGGTCCCTCAGTAGTTCCAGTCTGATCTACTGACCAAAAAGAGTGACGTATGCAGCATTGGCATCGTGTTGCTAGAGCTGGCCGCCGGTCTCCACCGCTCACCCTCCTCTTTCCCCCTCTTTTTGTCCCCTTTTACTCTGCACCAGGGCTACTTGGACCCGCAGTACTTCCCGTCTGATTTACTCACGGAGAAGAGCGACGTGTACAGCTTTGGCATCGTGCTGCTAGGGATAGCCCCCAGCCCCCTGCCTCCACCTCTCACGCTCCTCTCCTCCCTTCGCTACTTGTCTGTTTTCCGTCCAGGGCTATTTGGACCCACAGTACTTCGAGTCTGACTTGCTAACTGAAAAGAGTGATGTGTACAGCTTCGGCATCGTGTTGCTAGAGCTGGCCGCCGGTCTCCGCCCCTCATGCTCCTCTCCCCTCTCTTCTTGTCACCGTTTACTCTCTCCTCTTCCAAGGCTATTTGGATCCCCAATATTTCCAGTCTGATCTACTCACGGAAAAGAGTGATGTGTACAGCTTCGGCATCGTGTTGCTAGAACTGGCCACCGGTCTCCTCCTCTCATGCTCCTCTCCCCCCTCTTCTGGCCCCCTTTTACTCTTCCTGGTTTTTGAGAATTCTCAAAAACCAACTCTTCCTCAGGGCTATTTGGACCCTCAATATTTCCAAAGCGACCTGCTAACTGAAAAGAGCGACGTGTACAGCTTTGGCATCGTGCTGCTAGAGCTGGCCACTGGTCTCCGCCCCGTGACCAACGGGGAGCATATTAGAAGGATCGTGATCGATAGGGTTACCAACCACGGAGGCGTGCACAGTGTGATGGACCCGGTATTGAAAGCCATGTGGGAGAGGGGGGACGGGGAGGGCGGAGGAGTGGGCGGAGGAACAGAGGGAGGAACTGGGGGGGAAGGTGGGGGGGGAGAAGGGGGAGGAACAGGGGGAGGAGAAGGGGGAGGAACAGGGGGAGGAGAAGGGGGAACAGAGGGTGGAGGGGAAGGGGGAGGTGGGGAGGTGGGGATGAGTGAGAGAGGCGCACTGGTGGAGACGTGTGGGAGCGAGGCACTGGAGGAGACGTTTGAGTGGTTCTTGAGGCTTGCAATGCGGTGCAGCCTGAAGCAGGCTCAGAATCGACCCGACATGCAGCAGGTTTTGAAGGAGTTGGAAGGGATTAAGAGGCGGTTGAACTGGGTTTCTGCTTCCCGTGCTGGTGGCGGTAGTGCTGGTGGTGCTGCTGGTGCTGCTGGTGTTGCTAGTGGTGTTGCTGGTGTTGTTTCTAGTGGTGTTGCTAGTGCTGGTGCTGGTGCTGGTGATAGTAGCAGGCGGGGCAACAGCGAAGGGTATGCTTGGGAAGGGGAGCCTGTGTGTGTGACTAAGTCGCAAACCAGTGACAAGTTTTGGCAGGAAATCGCTGCAGCAGCGTCAGGAGGGGCTGCAAGGGAAGATTGGGGTGAAGAGGAGGACGAGGAGGATGAGGTATCGTGGTATGAGGAGCGGATGAAGAGGAGTGGAGGGGGGAACGGTGGGACGTCGAGCAGCGGTGGAGATGGGTTGAGTCCGATCGTGACGTTCAGTGGCAGTGTTCCTCCGAGCGATGTGAACCCTAGGTGAAAGAGGAGGGGAGGAGGGGTGCGGGGCAAGAGGGAGTGTATCGGAGCAGTGGTGGGGATGGGTTGAGTCCGATGGGGACGTTCAATGGGAGTGTTCAGCGGAGTGATGTGGTTCCTAGGTGAAAGAGGAGGGGCCGGTTCGGATGGGTGGATTAGGGACCTTCACGGGTGCTGAGTTTGGGTTCAGGTGAATGGGGACGTTCAGTGATAGTGTTCCATGCAGGGTGATGTGAATCCCAGATGACAGGTGGGGATTGGTCATTGGGGGGGATGGCGAAGAGCAGCGCTTGGGGTGGGTAGATAGATGGGGTGAGGGGGGGATTAGGATGGGAGAGTGGGTCGGTTCTGAAGGTAGCACAGGCAGCAGCATGGGCGGGTGTGGAGGCAGCAGCAGGGGAGAGTGGGATGCCGAGTAGGAATGGGGATGGGTTCGGTGCGGTGGTGGCGTTCTGCGGGAGCTTCTGAGTCTGCTTTTGAGTCAACTCAAAAGCAGCATTGGGGGGGGGGGGGGGGGGGGGGGGGCGTGTGGAGGTGGCAGCAGGGGAGAGTGGGACGTCTAGCAGGGGTAGGGATGGACTCAGTGTGATGGTGACGTTCTGTGGGAGCACACAGCAGCAGAGTGGGGTGGTGCCGATGCATAAGGGGGAGAGAAGAGGAGCCGGAGCGAGGGGAGGGAGGGAGGAAGGGGGTGGGGATGGATTCAGTGCGGTGGTAACACTGTTGATGCAGTGGATTCAGTGAGCAGAGTAGGAAAGGAATGAGCTGGTTGAGAAGCAACTAGCCGTACTGTTCTGGCTTCGCCATACCATGCTTGCTCCTGTATTAACACAATGCGAGCTTTTGCGAGCTGGGATACCCTGTACCGTGATATTTTCGTCCAAATGGCCGTCTTGACCGTGGTTTGGAAAATAGTTACACGCCATAAGGGTGCATTCTAGTGAGGACGTGTCTTCGTAACTTCGCGTCATAAGCGTTCTTTGTGACTAATTTTGGTGCTCTGATACTATGAACAGCCAATCAGATGGCTGGAACGCCACTGTTAGTTTCGAAGCATTTCAAATATGAAACACAAGCATACATATACATTGTAGGGGGGACAAAAAAGCACAAGCATACATGTACAGTTCTACCATGCATACTCATAATCTACTTATAAAAGATATAGGAAATTAAGGCACTGGTTTGGGCTTGGATTGTTCAATTAGCTTCGTCAGCTTCTTCTCTGCTTCGCCAGTTATCCAGCAAAATTGCTTTAGTGGCTCAGGCAGGGTATCATGTACACTCCACCACCGCTTATGAGCCGCCTCGTTTGCAAAGTTGCGAAGTGTGGGAACAAGCGCGTTACAATCAAACTCGCGGTAACACGCCCACGGCTTTATACCAAGGTAGTGTATAGCGTGGATTTCCGAAGGCTCTTGTGAGAACCACCTGTTTTTTACAATGAGGGCTGCTGCCCTCTTCACAGGGTCAGTGGTCCAGATGGGTTTGAGAGTGTTTATGGACTCTGGTAAGCGGTGCCACCATGTGAAGACATTGTTCAAGAAGCCCTGGGACATGGGGAGGGGTATTCAAGAGATTGGCCGACTTGGAATGAATAAGAGCGAGAGGGGAGTGAGCGTGGTACTTGGATAGTGAAAGAAGAACGTTGCTTGTAACTCTGGTTGTGGGTGTTCACTGGTGAAAGCACTATTCAAGTAGCTCTGGGCAGGAAGAAGAGATAGCACTTACCTCCCTCCCCCCCCCCCCCATTGGCCAATCGCACTCATTTCAGATTCAAGCAGGCAGGAGATTATCAATGATTCAACCCTTCCGATTCAGGATCTGCATCACATCATGGCCTCACCTGATCCCCCCCATTGGCCGATCGCACTCTTTCCAGATTCTCCATCAGCAGCTCAAACGTGCAATCCGACGGCTCCAGGACCATCACGCCTGAGTTGAAATCTGAGCCGTCGTTTCCCCGCGTGGAGATCTCGGGGAAGGAGAAGAGAAAGTCAACGCTGTTCAAGAGGAGCAGGTCCGAGTCAATAAAGAGCAGCTTGGCGTATTCTGTCTGCTGCCACAGCCGCAGCTTGCTGGGGGGTTGAGGGGGGACGGAGGGATTGAGGAGGGAGGTCAACGGAGTCAATGGTGGTCAAGAGAAGCAGCTTAAAATACTCCGCTTGCTGCCGCAGCCGCAGCTTGCTGGGGGCCGGAAGTCAAGAGGAGTCAAAGTCATACAAAAGTCAACAATAGTCAACAAAAGTCAAGAGAAGTCACAGCAGTAAAAAAAAACTCCTGGAGAATCAACAGGGATGCAAAAGAGGCGCAAAAGTCACAGGAGCAGACGATTATCAAGTCAATGGTGAGAGTCAATGCGAGTTTGGCAAACGACGCGTGATGAATGGAACTCAAGAAAAATAGAGGAGCAGTTCCGAGTCAATAAAAAACAGCCTGGCGTACTCCTTCTACTGCCACAGCCGCAGCCGCAGCCGCAGCTTGCTGGGGGGAGGGGTGGGGGTGGGGGAGTAAGGGAGGGGATTCAGGAGAGGTCAAGTCAATGGAGTCAACAGGAGTCTACTAAGAGCAGCAGCCTGGCGTACCCCGTCTACTCCGTCTTTTGGCAAACGACGTGTGATGGATACTTGAAAGAAGAAAGCTTTCAACCCAGACAGACAAGCAAGCAGACAGACAAGCAAGCAGACGTGATTTTGCCCCCGTCAGCACGCACATCAATTCACATCCTAGAAGCACAACGCATATGTATTCCCGCCTGTTAGAAGAACACAAACCTGTACCATTCAGCACAAGCACACAAACCAGTACCATCCAGCACAAGCACACAAACCTGTAGTTCCATTCGTTATAAGTCCCATTTAGTGCATTGGGATTTCGAATCCTCTCAATCTCCTTCACCGTCCACCCCGCCTCCCTCAGCCCTCGCCTGCTCTCTTCTCGAATCTCCTTCGATACAAGCACAACCATCTCGTGCTTGCTCCCCGTCCTCCTTATGCTGTGTCCCAGTACTATCGCGCCGCACACATAGTGCTCCGACGAGTGTAGCACTGTAGCATACGCGACGCGCTGGTTGGCTGAGGGGAGGGAGAGACAGAGGGATGTGGAACGAGGGGAGTTAGAAGGGCGAAATGACGGATAAAACTACAGTAGTACTGTACATGCCTTGCAAAAGGAAACTGAAATATAAATACGTGCTTCTCAACAGGAAAAGTTTTGCTCGATCCAGAACTCCCAAACTTCATTACTCAGATTCGCGAAAAGTCCTGAGACCTCTCGTGTCGCACTACCTGCTGCCACCTTGTCGCTGATTGGCTGAGCCATGGCACACGATCCTAGGGGCTGTACACGTGTCATCATGTCACTGGCCGTCAGGTTGTACAGCCAGGTGTCACCCTCCCGCGTCACGAGTCGCGAGCAGTGGAAGAGGTTGGGCGGCGGGCGGCACGAGGAGAGTAACACCACTGGTAACCACGGGCGACGAGCCTGGTAACATGAGAATTAGTGCGAGGGGATTGGGCGAAATAAGGAGAAAATAAAAAAATTACTGCCGATGGGCTAGACATCATGATTCGAAGTTGGGAATGGGCTGGGGATTGTGTGATGTGAGTGACTTAAAAGAATACAGTTCCGCAACTCATGCTCAATGCGACAGCTCTTACACCGACGACGAAGCCTGCGATCGTTAGGAGCTGCTGTAGCCAGCGAATATCCTTCGCCCAGGAATCGCTCGGTTCATCGCAGGGTACGTGTGCGATGATCGCGTCGATGTCGCCCAGCCAATCCGGACGTTCCGGCTCTGGAATTTTCGGGCAGGATGAGCGCGATTCGTTCACCCATTCAGGGTACGCATTGCTCCACGTCAGATTCTCAGGCACGGTCGGAACGGGTAACTCGAGAAGCTTGAAACGCCAGAAGCCGTACCGCGGATAGCCGTAGTAACTTGTAACATTCGCCTCGAAGTTAAACGTCCCGATTTTCGCGAGCCGCAATCGATTTCGTTGCTGAAACGAGATCAAGGCCGCGAATCCTTGCTTGTAAACGCTCGCCGCACGATCACGATTAACATCGAACGGGCGCGAATCCACCGTTAATGCATTCATATCGAACCACTCAATAGGCGAGTGCCACGTGGCAGAGTCCTGGAAATAGTGGTAAGCTACGAGGAGTAGACCGAGCGCCACGACGAAACAGCGCGCCGCTAAGAATAGCCTGTCTCGAGGCTTGAGCAGCGGCAGAGGAATTAAGGAGGTAAGCTTTCGGTGATGCGGCGAAGGGCGCGGTTCGCCGCCTTTCAGCACGCTGGACGGAGCACCGCCGATCATCGCGAACAGGATAGTGAATCGAGCAGTAGGCCTTATCAGTTCCAAAGTGATCTTTCCGCTGGTTGCAATAGGTTTTTCTCTTTTTGAGGAAAAGGACCTAGCAGAGAGGAATTGAGCTTAGTTGAGAGAGTGCTAAGCTAGAGTATTGGCCGCTATGGCAAAAGGCGCCGAGGAAAGCAAGAAACCACCACAGCCTGTCGTGGATCAGTGCCATAAATCCGTGTCATCGCGCATTTCCCATTACTCATTCCATCTGTCTCCTTGGAGTGGGGGCTCACACGGGGTTCAGGCTCTTGTCGTTTGGGGGCTCGATTTTTGCTGTGATTGGCTGGCGAGGTATGGAAATTGCCGAGGGGCGTAACGACGATGGCTGCGAGACCAAATCGCCTAGCATGCGAACCCCTAAGCCCGTCGCCAAGCTTCGATTTTCCAAACCTAACCTGCAAATTTGCCCTCAGGAGCAATGGCGCTTCAACAGAACTTGCATCATTACTCTCTATGAATGTGAAGGGCGACCCGTCCGTTGGTGCGGGGTGGCATGGCATGGTAAGGTTCGGTGAATGCGACGCGAGGGGAAGTGACGGGGCAAGTAATGATGCAAGTGCTGTTGCTCGCCGTCCGTGCTGCTGCTCGCTGACGGGGCACCGAGCCTGTTGGGGACGTGACGGCGGGGTGGTCGCGTCACTTCAATCACAACGTCCAATCACACGGTATAAGTGCTCGAGTCGGCATTTTCTTTGCGGTCGGCTGCTGACCGCTGGGTCTGGTGATGTCGCCTTCCATATGGGAATCATCTTGGTAACCAGTTTTGCAAGAAGTTCTGAGTGTCTCGGAGCGTCTCGCCCTGTTCGCGTTGGCTGTCGTTGGTTTCGCAAGCTGGTTGTGATGGCTCCGATATACACTATCGCTTTCTCGCAACTTCCATCTCCAAACTTAAAAGCTGCTGCATTGTACATATGTTGTATCATCATCACGTGTTCGTTCGTATTGTTACAATGGTGTCTGTATTGTGGATCTGCTAAAACAAGTGCAGTGACACCATCAGTGCATTTATACGCCCCAAGTGCAGTCACACAATGCTAGTTAGGCACATCCAAACACTCAATTGGTTCAAACCAAAGACACGATGACAGCATGTCATGCTTTTTATCACAACAAATGGCCGTAACAGTTGGCACTTACATTGATTATACCCCGATACCGCACCATCGCTCACACACAATTTTCAAACCACATCAACAAAGCGTCATTCCCGAACCCACCCATTCACAACAAACAAGCCCACGTTACCCTAATCCAATGCATGCCACTCCTGCTCCTACTGCCGCTCCTGCTGCTGCTTTCCCTGCTCCTCCACCCCCACTGCTGCCGCTGCTACTGCTGCGCCTCCCTCTGACATCACAGCTGTTAGGCCAGCAAGTCCAATTCCCGCTGTTCACACAACAATCATGTGCAATCTTCTTTTTTGATCCTACGGCTTTTACACATCAGCAGAGAGAAGATCATTGCCCAGGGAGATCTGGAACGGCAAGGGGGGAAAACGGAGAGGACGGGTGGAAGGAATGAGTTTTTATAGACTAAAAAGAAGCAGAAAAGCATACATACATGATACACTCATATATGCTAGATCAAACCATAACAGTTACACACACGATGCATCCATATACGGTACGATACTTACATCCTAGATACATCCCCCTGCCTGTTCCCCCACACTCCAATCATCTCCCTGTCCCGTTACTATAATCCTCCTGTCCCATCGCGTGTAATGAGTCGAGTTTTGAGTCGACTCAAAACTGCTCCCCCACAACCCAATCACCTCCCTGTCCCGTTACTATAATCCTCCTGTCCCATCGCCTTCCATCACTTCCCTACCCTCTCACACTCACGCGTGCCTTGGAAGATTCTCAAACTTGCTTCCACAATCCCCCTATCCTTTCACACCTTGCTGATTGACACCCTTCCCTCCAATAACCACCCCACCCCTATTGTCCTGCACTCACCATTTCTCCGAGTTCCCAAACTGGAAGCCTACCTCCTTCCCCCTCCCATCCATCCCCCCTTCCGCCACTCACCTTCTTTCCAAGCATAAAGAGCAGCCGCCCATTTTAAAAGGCATATTTTTCCAACCAAACCAATTCATCCTAGCCCCCACGCCTTCCTCTCCCCACCCTTTTTTCCACTCATCGTCTCCCCAAGCCTCGCAGCCTTCCTCCATCCCGTTCTTCCCTCGGCCCCAGCCCCATTCTTCATCGCATCCCCCCATCCCCATCCTCATCACCTTTTCTCCGAGCTTGAAGGGAGGAAGCCCGCGGTAGGGACAGCCGGCGCAGCGGAAGGCGTCGCCTAGGCCACACTGCAGTGCAGGTGCGGGTGGGTGGGATGGATGGAGCGAGGAGAGAAGAGGCGAGAGAGGGTGAGGTGAAGAGCCTGCCATGGTGCTATGGTATGCCGCATGCCTGAAATGGGGCAGCCCGCGGTAGGGACAGCCGGCACAGCGGAAGGCGTCGCCTAGGCCACACTGCAGGGTGTTTTGAGACGTCTCAAAACACGGCTCAAAACACGGAAGGCGTCGTTTAGGCCACACTGCAGGGGGGAAGGGGTGGGGTGGTGGGTGGGGAGAGGAGAGGAGATGCGTGAGAGGGTGAACAGCCTGTTTGTTATGGAGCGATGAAATGAGAAGGCCGAATTGATGCCCAACGCAGTACAGGCAGTATTTTTGAGTCGACTCAAAAATAGGCTCATCACACACGGATTTCATGTTTAGAGAATTTTTGTTGCTTGGACGATTGGGTGTAGCTTGCTTAAGCTTTTGGTGCGCGCGCGACTACCGAATTTGTTGCGTGGCGAAGGGTTGGACCCTGCTCCCAATGAAGACACCCTCGAGGGTTGAAGACGTGGCTCTTGGTGTTTTGAGCGGGCCAGGGTGTAGATAACCTTGAGTTCTGTTTTACTGGAGGCGTTAGCTTTCTTTTAAGGCTTCTGCTCCACTCTGTTTTCATTCTTGTAAGCACTGATGAAGGCCTGGTAGGGGATGCCCTCCAGCCGAAACATGTTTGTCTTGTTTTAGTTTCTGTTAACGAGAAGAGTTCCGGTTTCACAGACTCTTGGCTATTAGCTAGTGTTAGTTTCTTACACTGTTTTTTCCTACTTGCTTAAGCCTGAACCTAAGCATCGCTGCTCACTGGAAAATGTCAGAAGACAGCCTGTTTGTTATGGAGCGATGAAATGAGAAGGCTGAATTGAGGCCCAGCGCGGTACAGGCAGTGTGGACAGTGGAAGGCGGCTACTATCTGCACACTGCAGTGCGGGTGCGGGGTGGAGTGGTGGGAAGACAGGCGAGGAGAGGAGAGGAGAGGAGAGGAGAGGAGAGGAGAGGAGAGGAGAAGAGAGGAGAGGAGAGGAGAGGAGAGGAGAGGAGAGGAGAGGAGAGGAGAGGAGAGGAGAGGAGAGGAGAGGAGAGGAGAGGAGAGGAGAGGAGAGGAGAGGAGAGGAGAGGAGAGGAGAGAAGAGGAGAGGAGAGGAGAGGAGAGGAGAGGAGAGGAGAGGGCCCAAGAAGGTGAACTGCCTGGCACGGTGCCATGACAGGGCTGAAAAGAGGCTCAACGGGGTAAGGGCAGCTGCCCTTACCGGCTGATCAGCCACGGTACAGGCAGTGTTTCGAGTCGACTCAAAACATGGCTGATCAGCCGCGGTACAGGCGGAAGGCTGAGCACAGCGGAAGGCGGCTACTAACCCTAACCGCACACTGCTTGAGAACCGCACACTGCTTGAGAACCGCACACTGCTTGAGAACCGCACACTGCTTGAGAACCGCACACTGCTTGAGAACCGCACACTGCTTGAGAACCGCACACTGCTTGAGAACCGCACACTGCTTGAGAACCGCACACTGCTTGAGAACCGCACACTGCTTGAGAACCGCACACTGCTTGAGAACCGCACACTGCTTGAGAACCGCACACTGCTTGAGAACCGCACACTGCTTGAGAACCGCACACTGCTTGAGAACCGCACACTGCTTGAGAACCGCACACTGCTTGAGAACCGCACACTGCTTGAGAACCGCACACTGCTTGAGAACCGCACACTGCTTGAGAACCGCACACTGCTTGAGAACCGCACACTGCTTGAGAACCGCACACTGCTTGAGAACCGCACACTGCTTGAGAACCGCACACTGCTTGAGAACCGCACACTGCTTGAGAACCGCACACTGCTTGAGAACCGCACACTGCTTGAGAACCAGATTGCTTGAGAAACAGGTTGCTCTTCTAACCTCCCTAACCGCACCCTAACCTCCCTCTGCTCCACTTCACTCCCTTGTCCCCTGCCCTCCCTCCACTTCACCACCGCACTCACTCACACCCTCACCAAAAGTTTATGTTAGCTTGCTATTTCGTTGTCACATAAAGTAGCTACATAAGAAATAGCTGGAAGGTAATCAAGTAGTAGTTTAGTGAGGGCGTTCTTATTTACTTACTTTGACTGAACCACTCACTCACACCCTCACCAAAAGCACTTTGACTGAACACTCACTCACACCCTTACCCGCGCACTCACACTGCCACATGCTGACTCTGATCGAAAGTCCGCTTGCTCTTCCCCTGCCCGCCCTCTCCTCCTCCCGTCCCGTCCAACAATAAAACCCCACACCAAATAGAACAGATAGCACTTTGACTGAACCACTCACACTGCCGCATGCCGATTCAGGATTGGAGATCTGATCAAGAGTCAGCTTGCTCTTCCCCTGCCCGCCCTCTGCTCCTCCCGCCGCTTCTGCTGCTTCCATCTCCGCCCGCCCACACGTGCAGTTAGCGCACGCCTTGCGAGCAGCCTTGGCGGTGCCACAGCCTGCAAGAGTAAGGGATAAGAATGGGGGTGAGGGGGGAAGGGGGGGGGGGGTCAGCTTGCTCTTTCTCTGCGCTCCCTCTCCTCCTCCCGCCGCTTCTGCTGCTTCCATCTCCGCCCGCCCACACGTGCAGTTGGCGCATGCCTTGCGAGCAGTCTTGGCGGTTCCACAACCTGCTCAGGTGGATGCACAAAGAGAGGAGGAGAGAGCAGGAAAGGGGGCGAAACGAGGACTCAAACCACCTCAAACCGCCCACACGTGCAGTTGGCACCCGCCCTCCAGTTTTGAGGCGCCTCAAAACTAGACAAACCGCCCACACGTGCAGTTGGCACCCGCCTTCCCTGGTCTGTTGGCCGTGCCACAGCCTGCAAGAGAGGGATACACAGAAGACAGAGAGCAAGGAAGGAGGCGTGAAGGGGGGGAGAGGGTGGGGGAACCGAGGGAAAGGTGGGGGGATGGGGGGAGAGGGATCAGCCACTCAAACCATCTCCGCATGCCAGCACAAGTGGGATTCTCTCAAAGTGTTCCTGTCTGTGCGTGCATCTCTGTCACGCGCTGCAAGCAGTCTTGGTGGTTGGTTTATTCTTCAGGCGCCTCAAAGGACAGCTCTTGCACGCCTTGCAAGCAAGCAGCGAGTGCTGTGAGCGGCGAGTGCTGTGAGTGCTGCTAGTGAGTGCTGCTAGTGAGTGCTGCTAGTGAGGAGTCATGCAGCAGTAACATCACCAACAGCATTACTGTCAGGGCTAGGAGCAATCAATCCGCAATAAGATACCTGCAGCAGCACTGGCACGGGGAGGCACAGGCGCCGCCAGGTCCTCCCCGGTCAGCAGCGCAGCGAATCTTCGTCTTCGTCCCCGTCCCCGCCCGATTCACCAGTAGTGTTGGAGCCAGATGTGTAGATGAATCATTACTGCAGTAAAGCCTACCTGCAGCACCACCACCATACCAGCAGCAGCAGCACTGGCAGCGGGAGGCAAAGGAGCCACCAGGTCCTCTGCTGTCAGCAGCGAATCCTCGTCCGCCTGCTCATCCTCCTACTCGCCCGCTCCGCCACTATTAGTAGCGCTAGCTGAACCATGACTGCACTGCAGCAATAACACACCTGCAGCCGCACTGGCAGGGGGAGGTGCAGGAGCCACTAGATCTTCTGCTGTCAGCAGCGAATCCTCGTCCACCAGCTCATCCTCCTCCTCGCCCGCTCCGCCAGTAGCGACGCGCCACGTGGCAGGCGCGGGCAGCGGCACCCCTGCTGACGTGGCAGGCGCTGCTGCAGGCGCAGCAGCAGCAGCAGAGGTTTGGGAGGAAGTGCTTTTCTTCTTGAGAGTAAAGGATGAACCGGTTTGCCACGCGGGTTTCTGTGCCTTAAGCTGAGAGAGTGAGGGGGGTGGTGGCGGGAGGGAGGGACGGAAGGATGGACATGGGGAGATATCAGAAACTGAGAGGCAGGGGAAGCAACCAAAAGGGAATGTAAAATTGCCATACCGTGAGAGTCACCAAAGGCGCCTTTGAGTCGATCAGATAGCAGCAGGCGTGATCGCTTGGTTTTCAATGAGAACGTAAAAGAGGGGATGCAGGATTGGCATACCGTGAGAGGGACGAGAAGGGGGCCTTGGGTCGATCAGATAGCAGCAGGCGTGATTGCTTGGTTTATTTAAGAGAATGTGAAAGAGAGGATGCAGGATAACTATACCGTGACAGGGACGAGAAGGGGCCCTTGGGTTGATCCGATGGCAGCAGGCGTGATCCCTGTAAACTCCGGAGCCAATCCCACGCCAGCAATAGGGCTCACAGCCTGCCACGTGGCGAAGCCTGAAAGGAGGAGCATTCTTTCGAGCGCAGCTTGATTGGGCAGGGGCGACCCGGAGAGTGACGAAGGAAGACGCTGATTGGTTGTAAAAATGGGAGAATGTGAGGAAGAAGGGAGGCAGGGGGGGGGGGGGAATGAGAAAAAGAAAATGTGGGCGCAATGAATCTGAGTCGTTAGAACAATATGATTGAAGAAGTGTTTTGAGACGTCTCAAAACACTTCTTCAAAAATGTGGGCGCAATGAATCTGAGTCGTTAGCACAATATACTCATTATGGAATTCCTCATAAACTCTACAGCCACCCACCTCCAGCTCCACAGCAGCTGCTGATCTGGCAGCCACGGGCTCCTGTAACAGCAGCATGCCATTGGGCTGCAGCACACGTGCCAGCTCAGCAAGACATGTGGCATCATGATGACCTGGGCGCTCCGCGATGGAAAGAACCGACTCCAAGGACCCGGAGGCAATGGCAGGAAGCTTCGTGGAACCTGAGGAACAATGGAACGGCGGGAAGAAACAAATTTGGGCGAAACAAGGCTAAAGGTCAAAAGTTATCCCAAAGGTTTTCCAGAAGTATTCAGGGAGGGAACCGAAAGGTATTTAGAAAGGACATCGGAAGGTACTCGGAGAGGAAATCTGGCAGTTGTTTGAAGAGGTAGTCTATAGCAACCTGGAAGTTATTCTGCGTAGTATTCAAACACTAAGCGGAACGCAGGAGCCAAGCCTACCACGCCTATCAAGCCTACCACGCCTACCAAGCCTACCACCACGCCTAGCCTACCACCACGCCTATCAAGCCTACCACCACGCCTATCAAGCCTACTACCACGCCAATCAAGCCTACACGCCTATCAAGCCTATCACGCCTATCAAGCCTACCACGCCTATCAAGCCTATCACGCCTACCAAGCATATGAAGCCGATCGAGCCTATCAAGCCTATGAAGAATATCATACCTGTAAAGCACGATTCTACCCTTCACGAATCGTTGGCCGACTTTTGAGTCGACCATAAGTCAACTTTCCGATCGACTCAAGGTTCACTGGCACCTCGAAATAGAAAGAAACGTTTAGAAATCGCTTGGCCGAATTCGCGTTACCAGGTAGTCGCGTACTCGCTATAGAGAAGCTCATGGCCTCTGACCTCCTAAACGTAGACACTATCCCGTGCACGCACCAACGTGCCTGGCGTTCGTCAAAGGTCGCCTTCACTAACCTACCTAGCCCTAAACACATATACTATCCACTACACGCACCAGCGTGCCTGGCGTTCGTCACGACGCCTGTAGACTGGATCGCGGAATCCAACGGCTCGCCGTTACCGACGCCGACGCTCTTGCAGAAATCAGAGATCACTTGTCCGGAAATCACCGACGCGTCGGTCACCACGAGCCGACGTGGCATGCTGGAGCGAACAGAAGCTGCCATGAATATTCAACGGACAGGCGTGTCTGGGGGAGCTACGCAGAAATCTGTATGGGGTACAAGTATCCAAAACTTCGATCGAACTCGAGGTACAGCCAATGACAAGAGCCTAGACGCGTATCTTCTGGAAGCCTTGAAAGTTACGAACTGCTGTGGGGCAGCTCAAGACAAGCGTGATCGGCACGAGGAGCTCTTGTGGAGAGTCTAGATGGTTTCCCTAAATCGCATATCTCGCATGCGTGTTTCAAGGTCGTCAGCGCAAGCTAGCGATTGATTGCGATTTGCCGTGACTGTACCTCGCTGAAATACTCTCTCGGAAAATAGTAACGCTAACCGTCGCTCAGTGCCAATTATGGCTTCGTCTACGCTTTCGCGAAAGCGTCGACTCCGAACATCCGAAGATTGAAGATCGAATCGAGAAACCCACGGGCGACAAGAGCTGGATCCACGAGTTTAGGGGTACTTCTTATAGTGGTGCTCCTAACAAACCTCTCGGTCTCTTTGGAATTGAGTCTGATGATGATATATGTTCTGGTTGCTCCCATGTCTCTACCTATCGGAGTAGATAGTAAAGAGGAAACATTTTCAGGCGGCTAGTCGGTGATGGTAGTCACTGTGTACTGTAGTGCATGTGCTGTCGATTGTTCACCGCACCGACCAGGAGTTTGCTGGAATTGGCGTGTGCAAATCGGGCGCCAGAAAGTCGATGTGGCCACGTGGACGCAAATGACAGTCACAAATTCGTTCCCACCGCACGTTGAAACTTGTGGAACGCGATCACAAGGGCAGCAGCAAGCCAAGTCGGTGCCTCAAACAAAATAGGTGCGCACGCAGATGACTCAGATTCCGTGGATCTGCTCATGTGCCAGGAGGAATCGCGGGGTGGGCTTTGCCTCGCTGGCCGTTGTGCAGTTGTACACAAGCTTTTAGCGGAAGCGCGCCGCGACCAGGCTCGGCTCTATGTCACAAACCAGACGTGGTTTGGGATTTGTAATATTCGGTTTTGTGAAACACATTCGACTAGAACTGATCGGTTTGAAGGTGCGAGGAACGGTGATGGTTTCTAAACAGTGAAATCTTGGGTGACGAAACCGCAAATTCGGTGAAATCGCGATTCGAGTCGGAAGCCACCCAGTCACCTTTCTCTCTCTCTCCTTCCATTCCCTTCCCCCAGCTTCGGAATACAACACTCACATAGCAACACCAACAAACAATGCACAACCGAATAGTATTTAGACCGCCATGGTTTTCGGCATTTCTCATCCAACCCACCAACGCCCTTACCACCACCACCATTTTCGCCTCTCGCATCCATCTCGCTTTGTTTCCATCATGGCCCGACTTTCCCACCTCGCAACGTCGCTCGCAGTTCTGTTCCTCGCCATGGCAAGCAGCGCATTCGCGCGACACTACTCTGGCGCGGCGGCCGTTAAGCCCACCGTAGCCGCCTGCACCGCATCGACTCTGGGAGCGCCATACGCAAAATCTGTCAAGCTCACAGCTGACGGGTACGTGACAGTTTCTAGATAAGCGTCGTTTTCCGTCTGAAAATTATCATGCTTTCACATCGCCTCGGGTTTGAGTCAGCTTCGATCGCTTTTTAGCACGATTGCACCTTCTCTCCCGCTTCCCTCACAAAATTCCATTCTCCATTCACCCTTCCACCACTTAATTCAGCCTATTTCTCCTACACTGGAACGTCACCAAGAAGAAGGACGGAATCATCGCTGCGATCGAGGCGAAGGCCGGCAGCGGCGGCGAGACGGGCTGGATTTCCATTGGCTGGACGAAGAAAGCCGGCCTTATGGCTCCAGCCGACGCCGTTGTGGGGAATCTCGCGGCAGCCGCACCGAACAACGTTCTGGCTTACGCGATGACGGGCAAGACTGTGGCCAAGGTCAAGAAGACAACCGCAGTGAAGCTGTCCGCGAAATCCGTGGTTACCGCTGCTGACGGTGGCAAGATCGTGAAGTGAGTTTCGTTTGTTCCCACTGTGCGAAACCGTGCGCCGCGAAGCCATCATGATGCCCGTTCTTGCACCTCCGAGATTGTGTTCAGTTCCGTTATGTGGCGTTTTGAGAAGCACTAAACCCATGCATTTCATTCATCATTTCAGGTTCACTCGTATGGGCAAGGGCGGTCTGGGCCCTGTCAATTACCTGGGTAACAACAACATGATCTGGGCCTACTCAGACGCCCAGGCTTTCACCTCCCACTCCAATCGGTAACATCTCAAACCTTCGGCGCCAGAAAGTCTGCGTCTTCTGTTCCTACAATGCATGGTTCCTTCACATTTGTTACCTCTTATTGACGTTAGCCTGACTTCCTGTCTTTTTCTTTCTTTCTCTCCAGGGGTGGCATCGTCGTCAACCTCGCATGCAAGGTGTAATGGCGTGCCGAGCCTCATCTCCGGTGGAGGATAGCAGTAAACAACTCGGAACCCTCGAACCCGAAACCAGGTTTTTTGTGATGAAGTAGCAGAGGGACGACAATGTAGCATCGAGAATCAGCACCAAGGGTGTGACACACGTTCCGTTGACACCAATAGGCTTAGGGTGTGACCCTTGTTGCTGATTGTGGATGCACGTGAATTGAGCAATACATGCATACCTTTTGTGTGAACATGACCGCGAACAACCAGCGTAGGGATTTGTTCAACCCCATTGCGCGCACGTGGTGATCCCCTAAGTTGCACGTGGCGAACACAATTCTCATCTTGGATTGAACGTTCAGCATCTCCTCACTGAGTCGCATCAAGGTTAGCTATGGGAAGAAGCGAGCGTATTAAAACCACGGATGGGATCTGCGTGCATGATCCGCGCATCGTGAATGGCAAGGTAGTACGACATCTCAAGTGGTAATCAAGCTCTCGGTCGGTGACCACGTGGTTGGGAGAACCAACCTCCAACAACACTAACGCCTAATAACGTATTAACAACAGCGCTGGACGGAGGATTTGCACGTAGATTTCGTGATTCGGGAATCCAAATCCTGTTCGCTATACACGGCATATCTGGTTCATTTGCCTCGTCAACGCGTCGCTCACAGCACGGCGCCACTCTCATTGCTCGAGGTAAGGCACGACGGATGCGATCGAACGTTGCGAGTGAGGCTTCCTTAGCTGTATGCGATCGGACGTAGCGAGTGAGACTTCCTTAGCTGTATATGCGATCGGACGTTGCGAGTGAGACTTCCTTAGCTGTATGCGATCGGACGTTGCGAGTGAGACTTCCTTAGCTGTATGCGATCTGACGTTGCGAGTGAGACTTCCTTAGCTATATGCGATCGGACGTTGCGAGTGAGACTTCCTTAGCTGTATGCGATCGGACGTTGCGAGTGAGACTTCCTTAGCTGTATGCGATCGGACGTTGCGAGTGAGACTTCCTTAGCTGTAAGCCCTGCTGGTCTAGGACACCATCATATCACTGTCAGAAGAGTTGAAGGCTGAGCTAAGAGTCGGGACGGGAGTGATGTGAGGAGGTGGGTGACATGGGGTGCAACTGATGATTCGGGTTTGGGGTTTATATTAGACGGGTTCGGGGTTGTGGGGGAGGGGGAAGGGGGGGGGGGCGGGTGGGCGGGTCAGGAGAAAACAAAGGAGGTGGTAGCGGACGAGGTTTTGGAGGGGAGGTGGGGCTTGACAAGGGAGGAGGGGTTTGGGGAAAGAGGGGGGTGATTGTGGCGGGCGGGAGGTTCGGGGACAGGGGTGACAATCTGCCAAGGGAAAGGGAATGTGGCGGAGATACAAGGGGATTGAGATGGATCGTTTACACCGGTTTCAAGGTGTTCTGCGGGGCTGGGATCAGGGCAGGTCATACTCGGTTCGTTTACATTTGACTTTGAGATGTGCATTCTGGTGAAGCGCCCTAAAACAGGGTGGACCGTATTAAAACAAACTAGTGCAGTAGTCAGCCTGATTATGATACCATATTCTAAATTATAATATGCTGCTTAAAAGGTACTATTCAAACCTTCAAGGCATCAGTCTACACTGAAGGGCCCTCTCACATCCCATCCACCTAATATCCATAGGTCTGGCCACCTGAGATACAGTAAAACTGCAATGCCTTCAAAATTACTCGTTGCAAGGTCAACTCGTCACCAGAAGGATTGATATAAGTGCAAACCGTCTAAACCTTGCATGCCAGGTCCAGCAGAAGGGACCCACTGCAAAAAACAGAAAAGAGAGCAGAGAGAAGGGTAACAAGGAAGCAATGTAAGAAAATAACAACCACTCAATGTAGATACGCTTTCTACACCCTACATGCCGGGTTCACTTGAAGGCCTCTGGTGCACAAGAGAGAAGATAGAGCGCAGAGCAGGATAGGAAGGAAACAAGACAGCAGAACAGAACAGCTCCACGAAGACGTCAAAAGAGCCTCCAGAATTGGTTACCTGGTTACCAGAAAGAGAGTGAAGGGATCATCATGGCTCACCGCTTGGTGTGAATATCGGAGGTCTGCGTGTCGGCAAAACCCCAAGCCATGTTGTTGCCTGTGTAGGTGGAACGAGGAGGAGACCTGGTTACCTGGCTTCCAGAAAGAGTGTAAGGAATCATCATGGCTCACCGCTTGGTGTGAATACTGGAGGTCTGCGTGTCAGCAAAACCCCGAGTCATGTTGTTGCCTGAATGGTGGAATGAGGAGGAGACCTGGTTACCTGGTTACCTGGTTACCAGAAAGAGAGTAGAGGGGATAGTAATGCCAGGTCATGTTGTTCAAGCATGTGTCGTTGGGAGGAGCCACACCTGGTAACTTGAAAGAGAGTGAGAATGAGAGGCAGAGGGCTTGGGGCTTGTGGCTTACCGCCCAGTGTGAATAACGTAGGACTGTGTGTTGGCAAACCCCCAGGTCATGTTGTTCAAGCCCTTGTAGTTGGGAGGAACCAGACCACCCCCGCCAACGCGTGTGAACCTGAAACGGTCACACAGGGAGCAGCAGACAGGGAGAAGCGTGAAAGAAGTGAGTCCGTGCAAAGCAGGCAAGGGGAGCCCCGTCCGCTCCGCCCTTTCTCCCCACCCCACACGGGTGAACCTGAAACGGCCAGACAGGAAGAGCCCGCAGGACGACATGTAGCAGTGAGCAGGCAGGGAGAAGCATGAGAGGCGAGAAAAATCACTTGTGCAGCCACACACACCCTAGACCGCCCTTGACATAGTGAGACAGCCACACACACCCTAGACTGCCCTTGACAAGGCGTGTGAACTTGAAATAGTGAGACATGCAGCAGCACGCACAGAGAAGAATGAGAGAAGCGAGAAGCGGAGCCTTCTCAGAAGGGAGAAGGGGAGTCGTGAATCACCCATGCAGCCCAGGGGAACCCCAACTGCACTCTCTTGAGAATGCTAGAAGCTGAGGGGTTCTAGCATTCCCAAGAAATTGAAGCCGACAGCTTCACAGTCCCCCCACCTCTCCCCCCCTTCTTCCTTCCCTTCCCTCTCGCCCCTCCCCCCCGCGTCCACCCGTCCCTCACTTGAAGATAGTGCGGGCAGAGGTCTTGAGAATGCTGGCACCCGTCAGTTTGATAGTCTTGGTCTCGTTGATCTTGCTCATCGACTTGCCATTCATCACATAGGCAGCCACCTTCCTGCCACGTGGCAGATTCACATTGCCCACGATCGCGTCGCCTGGGTTCATCTTATTGGCCCGCTGCGTCCAGCCAATGGAAAGCCACCCCTTCTCGCCGCCGCTCCCTTTCTTGGCCTCCAGTGCGCCGTTCATCCCCGTTTTAGTGACGGTCCAGTGGAAGAGGAAGAGACTGGAGGGGATGGGGGGGAGAGGGGAGAGAGTGGGGTGGAAGAGGGGGAGAAAGAGTGGAATTGGAGGGGGAGGCGGAGGGGGCGGGGGGGAGGGTAGGGGAGGGGGGCAGGGATTAAGTAGGCTCACCCGTCAGTGGAAAGAGCAACGGCTCGCGAATAGCCCGTCAGCTTAGACTTCATGCAAGTGGCAGGCACGGGCGGGGGAGGGGGAGGCGGAGGGGGGGGAGGCGACGTGCCCTCGCCCTCCAACGGAAACACGCTTGTAACGGGGACGTGGTGACGTGCCAGCACGCCATTGGACGCCGCGGCGGCGGCCAGCAGGAAGAGCGTCCCTGCGACGATCCGGGCGTGCGATGCTGACGTGGCAGAGCTGCGGCGGGCTGCCATGGTGATGCTTCCTCACACAGAGAAGAGACACGTGGCAGGTAGCAGCAGCGGGCAGCAGCAGACGGATAGAGGCCGGTGACGAGCAGCAGACGGGCTTTGAGGGTGTGAGACGGAGCAACGGATTTATAGATGGTGCGTGGGCACAAGAGACAGCCGAGCCATGAGCACCATCAGCCCAAGCGCGACAGCTGTCTGTGCGCACCGAAGCAGCTTCTCCTGGGGCGGAAGCAGCCGTTGCATGCGGCGTGAACGCCACATGGCGGCAGAAAGCGAAGCCGGAGTGTTCCCCTGAACGGCGGCCACATGCCGGTTGCTGATTGGCTCGCGAAGATCCGGCCTTCCGCCTGCTGCCGGCCCTATACGCGCCGAGCCGGCAACACGTGGATTTGCGTCGTTCAAGGATAAAGAGAGGGAAAAAAACCCGCGGCTTCCCGCGTTCAGGGTAAAGTTACGGGGGAACCCAGCAGCTTTTGACTGAAACGGATTTTTTTCAGGATAAAGAGCTGTGGAATCCGCGTGGCTTTCACGGGAGACAGGCGGAACGGACTTTGGCAGAACGAAGAGGCACGCGGAGCGTGCACGTTGGAAGCAGCGCGGATGCGTGTGCGAGGGGTGGCCGCGTTGTGCTGGCTCCTCACTAGACAGGCTCGTTCTCACCCACGGCGACAGCATTCCGAAGAGCGAGTGACTCAGAGCCACGTGACGTAGGTTCTTATTGGTTATCTCATCTGCAAAATTGCGTGGTCCCCAATCTGTCCCCAAACCATTCTGTCCCAGATCAGACACGAATCCGTCTAGAAACTATCTTGAAAGACACTTCGGAGATATTTTTGTCCGTTGGCAATTTTACTCTACATTCTAACATGTCCCAGAAATGACTTGTGCGAAAATTTGTCCTGGCCAAGAAGTGAATGTGTCCTGGGAGGTTTGGACTGCAATGCGATCAGAGGACTCAGGTTCGATTCTCGACGATGACAGTTCCATTTTTTCGGTTGTAACGCTTGTATGTGTTTTCGCAATTTCGGAAAAAGGTAGACAGCCGAGATTCTATCTTCAGACCCATCGATCCAACCAGACAGACCAACACCACTGCGCGATAGTTTACTGACAAATAATAGATTTACATTTATTAATAAATTTATGCGCTTCGTCAGCTCTATCCATTGAAACAAAATCTCGCGCCACGTGGCACCTGGCCAGCAGTGCCGAAATCGTCCACGTGCACAGAAAAAAAACCCGTCACTGTCAAAGGCCCACCACACAATTGAAAGATTCAATACCTGTGAGCTCCACTTCATGGTGTAAACCCCATCGCGATCACCGCAACGAAACTACTATAACCCATCCATACCGCAAAACAATCCAAACATGTTGCTAGAAGAAGGCGTTTTACTCTCGTCCCCTTTTGTTTCTTCACTTAGTTATTAGTTGCTCTGCTCTTGTATCTGCCAGTAGCTAGACTCGACTTGTGAATTCTGTTCAACTCTTAGAGTAACATTTATGCCCTTTAATCACTATATTGCGCGGCAGTTCTCGTTTGTCATTTATTAAGCTCTTGCTCTAACTCGTCTATCGTAGCCAGAACCATGATTTTGACGATTTTTTTTCCAGTTTCTTTGACATTTCTCTTATCCCGCGTCACCGCTTACATCCCTTACTATGTTAATGCGTCACATTTCAAACTGGTATTTCCATCCCGTTATCCTTTTTCCCGTGGCCTTGAATCAGGATAGCAAATGACATCTTGTCAATGACGTTGGAAATGAATCGTGGCGTTTTGTACGCCTCAAAATCGTCAATCATCTACTTGTAGGTTTCTTGCAATTTCGTTTTCTTGAACGTTTTCTATTTTAATATAAAAGAAATCTTGTTTGGTGTGTCAACGTTGTTGTGTGATTGTAAGTTATGTCTGAACAGAATTCATTGTAAGGAGATGTCAATGTTTTCGTCGACGGTAAGTTGTGAGACCTGTTTTGGAGCCTTATTTTCTAACCTCAATGACTAACAAATGATTTTTTTCCAGCATACTATATGCCTGTACTACGGTTCAATCTATTATTATTGGATCAATTCATTCTTGATATCGTCGCTTTAATGGCAATACTTATAAATTCAGTCTGCACATGGAGTATGACTCAAGTGAAGCCATTACGTATATGTTGCTGTGGTTTTGTGTTATGCCAGATAATTTATCTGAGCCTTTTGGATTTTGGAAGTTGTGGTAATCTGTATACGTCATGGTGCAAAAAACATAAGCATTTCCGTTTTTAGTGTTTTCATTGTATATACATTGTAATGAATTGTATCAAATACGATGGGTTTTAAGGCCAAATGCAAGTGGTGAAGTTGCAATGCAAGCTAACCCAGAATTGACCTACGTGGGTCTCGAAACTCTCCCGACACTCTCCCGCAACTGTCCTGAAACTGTCCCCGAAATCTCTTTGGGGACATTGCTGCAGACTGTTTCGGGGCACATTTGACTTGGTCCCGAAAGTGTCTTTGGGGACACTTTCTCAAGTGTCCCGAATCTGTTCCAAAAGACTCCCGCGGGAGAGTTTTGGGACATTACATTTTGGAGATGCTGAATCGTTGGCAATTCGCAACTGGTGACGTGTCAGTTATGGATCATCGCGCCACCCCAACCCAATGTGATAAGATTGGATCAGATTAGAGAGGCTAGCCGCCAGAGGCCCCACCAGGATCAGAGAGGCTCGCCGCGTAAAAGTTGGCGGGACATGAGATTGCTGCAGGCTGTCCGACAGGAGGAAAAACGGCCCGTAATCCCACGTGGGCCTCCGTAACCAGGGCCCCGTAATGGGGCCAGGGTTACGGTGTCCTTAGGCACGCCAGGAAAACGACGAACCCAGGGCCGCTCATCCCCGCCAAATCGGGCGGCCGACCCTTTGGCATGGCTCGGGACCGAGCCACGGTCCCACGTAAAAGTTGGCGGGACATGAGATTGCTGCAGGCAGTCCGACAGGAGTATCATGTTCCGAATCGCCTCTGTAACACCCTCCACGTGACGCAGATCCGTGAGGGATCAAACGGATCATGTCAGACTCACTGAGTGAGAACTGTTCGCCGGATTGAACTACGCGGTACTGTACTGCACATGACTCGAGTTGCTGTTGCGGTAGGCTTTTGAGTCAACCCAAAAGCTTGCTGCAGGTTGTTCCATAGGGAATCTGCCGCGGCGGTCCGACACTGGTGTGGCCAATCTCCGCGAGTCAGGTTCAGGCAGATCTCGAGGCGTGATGGTGCGGCTCGTCGCGCCAAGCATGTCGACGACCTTTGGTGCCTGCCATGCAATGCGACATGACGGAGGATGTCCTACAGTGCTCTATATCTGTAACTGAAACGGTAACTGTAACTGGTAAAGCTGCCAGGGTGACTGGGGAAGGTGCTGCATTGACACGAGCAACTCTGCTCTACAGTACAGTCAGCACTACAGTGTCATCTAGGAATTCGGTTCAGAGGAGCTTCTGAGCGCGCCGAGTGGAACCTGTGTGCCTGCCTGCCTGTCTGGATAACGCCGCGTTCCCTCATAAGGGCGTGTAACCATTTTGATTTTTTTTTTTTTTTGTGTTTTTTCGGACCGTCCGTATATTTTAAAACGGACGGTCCGAGTGACGTGTCGGAACCTTGCCACCGTCCGGAGAGAAACGACACTTTTTGCCAGTACTCCGAATTCGCGACTACTGTAGTCCCGCGTAGCTCCCGCGACACTCGTAACCAAATATACAAGTTGTCGCTAGTAAATTTCGTTTGCCAATCCCTGCGCAGGTTTGCAGAGTGAAATTCGCCCGCCAATCCCTGCGCAGAACTGGCGGACTGTCCGTTTGGGTTTCGGACCGTCCGAATGCACATTTCGGACCGTTGGGAACGTGAAAAAGTGTCATGACGGTTCGGAATGTTGGCGACGTCGCAAGGGGTTCCACGAACAGACTTTCGAAATGCTGCGACTCTGGTAACTCTACGCTTATCCGGACGGTCCACATTTCGGACCGTCCGGAACAAAAATAGGCAAAATGGTTACACGCCCTAATGCTCCTAGATCTAGTGGGTTCCGCGTGACTGCATGCATCCCGCCTGCTCGCCCGCCTGCTCGATCCACCTGTTTCGATCCAGCTGTATCCAGTTCATGTCTGCGGCGGCCTGCCTCGTTTCCTCCGCGCCCACAGCACAGGGCAGACACACAGCGATTGCGGGGGGACGGAGGGAGGTGGAAACGCGGATGAGTACAGCTCAAGGTGTACGCGATTCTGAAATGACGATACGAGACTCGTACCGTATTCTCCCGGACATAACACCCTAGGGTAGATCTAAAAATACAGGAAAAAAAAAGGGGGGTGTCTTCTCATAGGAAAAAGCTACATAATACCCGGGTGTTAAATTGTAATGTGTTATATGTTGGTAGGCTGTAGTGGGGTAGCCAATATGGGGTACAACCCCAACTAGGGTTTCATATTTGTACCCAAACTTCTGCTAGTTCATTCATTCTTGCCTAGTTATTCTGAGATGGTATTCAGAGCAGGAGGTCCCTAGGACCTACCGATCGTTTTTTTTTAAGGGCCCACCACCGCTCGCATGCGGTTACCACGCTACCCCGTGCCCTAGCCTCGTAGCGCCCTCGTGCGCCCTCGTTAGCGCCCTCGCGCGCCCCTCGTTAGCGCCCTCGCGCGCCCCTCGTTAGCGCCCTTCGCGCACCCTCGTTAGCGCCCTCGCGCGCCCCTCGTTAGCGCCCTCGCGCGCCCCTTGCTAGCGCCCTCGCGCGCCCCTCGCTAGCGCCCTCGCGCGCCCCTCGCAGCGTCGCCCGCCCGCCCGCTGCCCGCTTCGCAGCGTCGCCCGCCCGCTTGCTGCCCGCTCGCAGCGTCGCCCGCCCGCCCGCTGCCCGCTTCGCAGCGTCGCCCGCTCGCTCGCTGCCCGCTCGCAGCGTCGCCCGCCCGCCCGCTGCCCGCTTGCAGCGTCGCCCGCCCGCCTCGCTGCCCGCTTGCAGCGTCGCCCGCCCGCCCGCTGCCCGCTTGCAGCGTCGCCCGCCCGCCCGCTGCCCGCTTCGCAGCCGCCCGCCGCGCTGCCCGCTCGCCGCGTCGCCCGCCCGCCCCGCTGCCCGCTTCGCAGCCCGCCCGCCGCACTTCCCGCCTGCAGCGCCGCCCGCCTCGCCTGCTGCTCCCTGCCTGTGCACCGCCGCTTGCTCCTGCTGTGGCTGCTAGCTTCGCTCTAGCGCGTCCCCTCTGCTGCTGCCGCTGCTCTGCTGTGCCCTCACGCCTGAGCTATGGCCTCTATTCGCGTTCTTTCCTTCGATGCTGAGGGCCGTCCCGTGCAGTTCACTTCCTGGCTCGACGACCTGCAGTTGTATCTTATGAGCAATAGCACGGACCACATCTCCCTCTATGACTACGCGTCTGGTGCTGCCGCTGCTCCTGCTGCCACAGCCGAGCTTAGTGTACGTTCACAGTGGCAGACTCGTGACGCTGCAGCTCGCCTGGCTATTCGCAGTCACCTGCCGTTAGCTGAGCTAGAGCACTTTGGCGACTGCAAAACCGCTAAAGCCCTATACGACGCTGTCGTTGCTCGCTACTCCTCACCTGCCACAGCCGAGCTTAGCCGTCTCATGCTGCCTTACCTGTTCCCTGACCTGTCCACCTTTGCTACAGTCGCCGATCTTATCACCCACCTTCGCACTAGTGATGCTCGCCTGCGTGCCGCCCTTCCCACCGAGTTCTGCGCTAAGAACCCCCCTCCCCTGTACTGGGCACTCCACTTCATAGTCACCCGTCTCCCTGACACCCTCAGCTCAGTGCGCGACTATTTCCTTGCTCGCTGTCCCACTGAGCTCACTGTCGCCCTCCTAGAGGAGAAGCTGCTAGCAGCCGAGAAGAGCATTGTAGCTGTAGGTGCTGCTCGCGGCGCTCCTCGCACCCCCATCTTTGAGGGGTGTTCTCCCTCTCCCCTCGCTCCCTCCTACGCTACTGCTGCTGCTGTTGACTTCCTTGGTGCTGAGTCTGTTGGCGCTGCTTCTGCTCCTGGTGGGAGGCGCCGCACCGGCAAGGGCAAGGGGGGCAAGGGTGGTGGTGGTGGCGCTGGGGGGGGAGGAGGTGGGGGAGGTGGGGGGGGAGGCGGTGCTGGAGGGAGCGGTGGCGGGAGCGCTGGTGGGAGTGGGGTCGGCGGTGGAGGCGGGGGCGGCGGAGGAAGCAGTGGCAGTAGTGGCGGCGGCGGTGGTGGCGGCGGTGGCGGTGGTGGCGGTGGTGGCGGTGGCGGTCGGAGCGGTGGTAGTGGTGGCGGCGGAGGTCGGAGTGGAGGCACTGGCTCGGGCCAGAGCTCCCAGCAGCAGCAGCGTCCCCAGACGACCCAGCAGCTTCGTGAGTGGCTTGCTCAGCGTGGGACGTCGGGGGGCAGTGGCCGCTGTTCCTATGTCATTCGCACAGGTGACCGCAAGGGACAGACGTGTGGGAGGTTCCACACCCCGTACCGCTGCTTCTCCCGCCTTGATGACGCTTGGCGTGAGGAGATGGGTGAGGATGTTGAGCGCCCCCGCTGGGCTGAGCTCATGAGGGCTGGTGTTGATGTCTTTGCTCTTGACTATGATGCTATTATTGCTGCCATGTATGCATTGACTGTTAGTGCCGAGGGAGACTGTTACTTGTGTGTGCCGCCTGACCCAGGTATAGAGCCCGCTGCCCTGGGTACTAGTGAGTCTGCTCTCTCTGGTATGGTGCCCCCTGTACTTGCTCCCTCCAGTGCTGTCCCGACTGTTTGCGAGTCTGCTCTCTCAGGTACAGCACCCACAGAGACTGCTCTCTCAGGTACCGCACCGGCTGAGGCCTGTCACACCTTCACCCTTGACTCAGGTGCTTCCCGTTGTTTCTTTCGTGACAGTACTGAGCTCACACCGCTTCCTGCACCGGTCCCAGTCTCCTTGGCTGACCCCTCTGGGGGCCCAGTCCTTGCCCAGTCCACCACTGTACTCCCTTGTCCGGCGGTTCCGTCTGGCTCGTTGTCGGGTTTCCACCTCCCCTCGTTCTCGACGAACCTGGTGAGCAACGCTGTCATCCAGGATCAGTGGGTTGACACCTTTACCCCTGGAGGACAGCGTGTGGCGATCTGCACGTGCTCCAGGACCGGCCGTCACCTGGCTACGTTTACCCGTCGGCCGGGGTCGAGTCTCTACACACTGACCACTGCGTCTCCTCAGGTCGCTGCTGTCGGTCAGGTGTCTGCGTCCCTCTACTGCTCCTCAGCGTGTCCCTCTACCGTCTCCTCCTGCGTCCTCTTTGCCTGCCGTTCCGGACCCTGAGTCTGACCGGTATCGCGCTGAGCACCCTACTGTCACGCGTCTCCTAGCTACTGTTGTCACTGACCCTACCTTTGAGTCCTCCGCTGCGTCTGCTCTGGTCACTGAGTTGGTTGACTTTGCTGCTGCCTGTCGTCTAGACTACGCTGCTAGCCTTGTTGCTGAGTCTGAGTCTGCGTCTGTCTGTCCTCCGTCCGTCGGGGGTGAGTGTGCTCTTGGCACGGACGTCCTTGAGGACAGGCAGGAGGACTTTGACTCTCTTGCGGCTGCTGTACCTCATCTCGTGGCCTGGTTGCTTGCCCCTGAGGGAGACCCGGATGCACTAGACATCCCCACTCCGCGCACTTACGCAGAGGCGATCTCGGGTCCCTACTCCTCTCAGTGGCAGACAGCCATGGACGCAGAGATGGCATCCTGGAAGTCCACAGGCACCTACGTCGACGAGGTTCCCCCTCCTGGGGCGAACATCATCGATGGCATGTGGATTTTCAGGGTGAAGCGGCCGCCAGGTTCTCCGCCTGTCTTCAAGGCTCGTTACGTTGCTAGAGGCTTCAGTCAGCGTCAGGGGGTCGACTTCTTCCAGACCTTCTCCCCCACCCCGAAGATGACCACTCTTCGGGTTCTGCTGCACGTTGCTGCTCAGCGTGACTACGAGCTTCACTCTCTTGACTTCAGCACAGCGTTCCTGCAGGGCAGCCTGCACGAGGAGATCTGGCTGCGCCGCCCACCTGGCTTTACTGGGTCGTTTCCCCCTGGTACCCAGTGGAGCCTCCGCCGGCCAGTCTACGGTCTCCGCCAGGCGCCACGTGAGTGGCACGACACACTGAGGACTACACTTGCGGCTCTTGGGTTCGCGCCGTCTACTGCTGACCCGTCGCTGTTTCTACGCACAGACACGTCGCTGCCGCCGTTCTACATTCTCGTGTACGTCGACGACTTGGTCTTTACCACTGCTGACACTGAGGCACTCGCTCGTGTGAAGTCGGAGCTGCAGAAGAGACACACCTGCACTGACCTGGGTGAACTACGTAGCTACCTTGGCTTGCAGATCACCCGGGACAGAGCTCGCCGCACCATCACCCTGACTCAGTCACACATGGTGCAGCAGGTCCTTCAGCGCTTCGGCTTCCAGTTCTCCTCACCTCAGGCCACACCTCTGGCTACCAGCCACTCGCTCTCAGCTCCACCTTCGGACGAGTCCGTAGAGCCGAGTGGCCCGTACCCAGAGCTTGTAGGCTGCCTCATGTACCTGATGACTTGCACGCGACCTGACCTCGCGTACCCTCTTAGCATCCTTGCTCGTTACGTTGCGCCTGGGAGACACAGGCGAGAGCACTGGGAGGCTGCTAAGAGGGTGCTGCGTTACTTGTGCAGTACATCAGGCATGGGGCTGGTGCTTGGAGGACGCGACAGAGTTGTCCTCACTGGTCACTCGGACGCTTCTTGGGTGGACGACCTGGCTACGCAGCGGTCGTCACAGGGTTACACCTTCAGCCTTGGCTCTGGTTCTGTCTCGTGGCGGTCCACCCGCTCTTCCTCTGTTCTCGGCTCTAGTTGTGAGGCTGAGATCTACGCCACAGCCATGGCTGCACAGGAGTTACGCTGGCTCACCTACCTGCTGACTGACTTGGGAGAGCGGCCTAGTTCTCCTCCAGTTCTGTACGGTGACAACAAGGCGGCTCTTGCCTTGTGTCAGGAGCACAGACTGGAGCACAGGACGAAGCACATTGCTCTTCGCTACTTTCTTGCTCGAGAGCTTCAGCAGCGCGGTCAGCTTCGGCTTGTGTACGTGGACTCGAAGGCCAACACTGCTGATATCTTCACCAAGGCGCTCCCGCCTAGTGATCATCAGCGGCACTGTACTTCTTTAGGCCTTGTGTCCACGTTTCCTCACTTGCTCACTGCTTGACATTCTTTGTACTGTACTTTATATATATCTTGTTGCTTGCTTGCTAGGTTTTGATCACTGTGTTGCTTGTCTTGTACTATATCTAGCACTGCATGTGAACTGGCCTTGTGGCCTTTGCTTGTGCTCGGAGTGTGGTGACGTTGTGATCCACCCTGGGCTTGCGTTGCTTTGCTGGACTGGTCTTGTGACCCTTTGTTCTCCCCCACTTTGCCTATGGGGGTGTGTTAAATTGTAATGTGTTATATGTTGGTAGGCTGTAGTGGGGTAGCCAATATGGGGTACAACCCCAACTAGGGTTTCATATTTGTACCCAAACTTCTGCTAGTTCATTCATTCTTGCCTAGTTATTCTGAGACCGGGTGCATATATATGGTATATTTTAGTGTTAGAGTTTTTTTTATTATACAATTTGAGTGTTTCCATGGGCTTTTTAACATCACATGTTGAGGCGCGAATGTGAGTTTCGACGCGAACGTCATCACCCCCTCGAAAATGTCATTTGGCACCTCTCTGGCCACCTGCAGCGGAAGAATCGCCAGCACGTGGCTACATCGAAATACGGGGGGAATCTTGGCAGATTTGATGTGAAAGAACCGGGAAATTTCATCGAGCGAGAGATTTTCGCGATATACTCCCGTACTTGCACGTACTCGTTAACAACTATAATATAGAATCTGTAAGAAAATGGGGGTGTTATAAAAAATCATCTAAAAAAGGGGGTATAGTGAAATCGAGGTCGCCCATAGCACCCACCCCGCACAAGCTACCCGGGGGTGCTCTATCATGGGGGGGTGTTTTGTCCGGGAGAATACGGTATGTGTTTTATGCACCACAATTTGAAGGAACTGCTCATGCAATGAAGGACCTGGCAATAACATAGTGAGGTGTCCTAAGTTTAGGGTTTTTATTTTTCATTATGGTTGTAATCAATACAGTACAAAGCAAACATGGCCTATGTGCCAGAATCGAACTGGTTTACGCTAACCAGCGTTATCTGCCAGTCCGAAGACTGCACTCAAGACAAAGTCATGTGTGTTCGTACATATCAAGAGTAGCAACTGATCTTCATGGCGGATGGAATGGGTCGTGGAGAAGCCATGTCTCCCTCAATTGCAGGTGAAGTTGCGGGAAACCGGTCGCGTCAAACCGCAGGAATCGTCGAGCGGTAGCCACTCTGACGCTATCCGCGGTACGCTTCTTCATTTTTCCAGACCAGCCTCTTCTTTTCATGAAGAAGATTTTGCATGTCGTAAGGAACATGCCCAGAATGCAATGTAGGATGTCAAAGTAGTTGGAGTAGGATTGCTCGTGAACGTTAGAGCACCTTTCCCGCCATAATGTGTTTGCTACTGGAATGATTGAACTAACAGAGAAATCAGTACAAATAGCAAACCCTAGAATTGTGTACCCCATATAGGCTAACCCACTGTAGCCTAACAAACCCAACATATATAATGTTTGACACACCCCCATAGGCAAAGTGGGGGAGACCTAGGGGTCACAAGACCAGTCAAGGCAAAGCAAGGCAACAACAAGCTCAGGGTGGATCTCGAGGATTCCACACAAATTCCGAGCACAAGCTAGTGGTCACAAGACCAGTTCACATGCAGGTTTATAACAGAGCCAGAGATACAGTGATCACAACCTAGCAAGCGTAAACATGCAGGTATATATATAGTGATCACAGTACAAGCAAAGTCAAGAGGTAAGCAAGTGAGGTCCAGTAGGCACAAGGCCTAGTAGAGTGCAGAAGCGCTGATGGTCACGAGGCTGAAGCGCCTTGGTGAACACATCAGCAGTGTTGGCCTCAGTGGCCACGTAGCGAATACAAAGCTGACCGCGCTGCTGCAGCTCTCGAGCAAGGAAGTACCGCAGAGCGATGTGCTTCGTTCTGTGCTCCAGTCTGTGCTCCTCACACAAGGCAATGGCAGCCTTGTTGTCGACGTACAGTACTGGAGGAGAACGAGGCGGCTCTCCGAGGTCAGTCAGCAGGTAGGTCAGCCAGCGTAGCTCCTGGGCAGCCATGGCTGTAGCGTAGATCTCAGCCTCGCAACTGGAGCCGAGAACAGAAGAAGAGCGTGTAGAGCGCCAAGAAACTGAGCCAGAGCCAAGGCTGAAGGTGTAACCCTGAGACGACCGCTGAGTGGCCTGGTCGTCTGCCCAAGAAGCGTCTGAGTGCCCTGTGAGCACAACTCGGTCTCGCCCTCCAAGCACAAGCCCCATGCCCGACGTACTGCACAAGTAGCGCAACACCCTCTTAGCGGCATCCATGTGCTCCTTCCTGTGACGGCCAGGAGCGACATAGCGTGCAAGGATGCTAAGAGGGTATGCAAGGTCAGGTCGAGTGCAGGTCATCAGGTACATGAGGCAGCCCACAAGCTCTGGATACGGGCCACTCGGCTCTACGGACTCATCCGAAGGCAGAGCTGAGAGCGAGTGACCGGTAGGCAGAGGAGTGGACTGAGGCGAGGAGTACGTGAAGCCAAAGCGCTGGAGAACCTGCTGCACCATGTGTGACTGAGTCAAGGTGATGGTGCGCCGTGCTCTGTCCCGGGTGATCCGCAAGCCAAGATAGCTTGTCAGCTCACCCAGGTCTGTGCACGTGTGTCTCCTCTGCAGCTCCGACTTCACGTAGGCGAGTCCTGCAGTGTCAGCAGTGGCAAAGACCAAGTCGTCGACGTACACGAGGATGTAGAACGGCGGCAGCGAAGTGTCGGTGCGCAGGAACAGCGACGGGTCAGCTGTAGAAGGCGCGAACCCAAGAGCCGCAAGTGTAGTCCTCAGTGTGTCGTGCCACTCACGCGGAGCCTGGCGGAGACCGTAGACCGGCCGCTGAAGCCTCCACTGGGTACCAGGAGGAAACGACCCAGTGAAGCCAGGTGGGCGGCGCAGCCAGATCTCCTCGTGCAGGCTGCCCTGCAAGAAAGCAGTGCTGAAGTCAAGTGAGTGAAGCTCGTAGTCGCGGTGAGCGGCTATGTGCAGTAGCACCCGAAGAGTGGTCATCTTCGGGGTGGGGGAGAAGGTCTGGAAGAAGTCAACTCCCTCTCGCTGACTGAAGCCTCGAGCCACGTAACGCGCCTTGAAGACAGGCGGAGAACCCGGCGGCCGCTTCACCCTGAAAATCCACATGCCACTGACGATGTTCGCCCCAGGAGGGGGAACCTCGTCGACGTAGGTGCGTGTGGACTTCCAGGAAGCCATCTCGGCGTCCATGGCCGTCTGCCACTGAGAGGAGTAGGGACCCGCCATCGCCTCAGCGTAAGTGCGTGGGGTCGGGATGTCTGGTGCATCCGGGTCTCCCTCAGGGGCAACTAGCAAGGACACGAGACGGGGCAAAGCAGCAGCAAGACACTGGAACTCCTTCTGTCTGTCCTCAAGGACGTCCGTGCCAAGAGCACACTCACCCCCGACGGACGGAGGACAGACAGACTCAGACTCAGACTCAGCAACAAGGCTAGCAGCGTAGTCTAGACGACAGGCAGCAGCAAAGTCAACCAACTCAGCGACCAGAGCAGACGCAGTCGAGGACTCAAAGGTAGGGTCAGTGACAACAGTAGCGAGGAGACGCGTGACAGTAGGGTGCTCAGCACGGTACCGGTCAGACTCAGGGTCCGGAACGTGAGGCAAAGAAGACGCGGGAGGAGACGGTAGAGGGACACGCTGAGGAGCAGTAGAGGGACGCAGAGTCATGTAGTGAGTGCCTGGGACAGGAGGAGGACGCTCACGACGGACACGACTACCAGTGCGAGCAGGACGAACAGGCGACGCAGGACGAGACTCAGGCTCACGACGCTCTGTAAGACCTCCTGTAGGACCAGTGTATTGAGAGGGAGCAGGGAGAGGCGAGGTAGGCGGTAACTGTGACTGCGACTGGACAGGCAGAGGACACTCTACGGAGGGAGGAGGACAAGGAGGAGGAGCCTGCCCAAGAACCTGCTGAAGGAGCGGTACGAAGTACGGTCGCGGCCGCGCAGCGTCTCCAGAAGCAGAGGAGACTCCAGCGGCCGGGTCCACAGCACCAGCAGCAGCTCCACCGGCCGGGTCCTCAGCACCAGCAGTAGCTCCAACGCCCGGGTCCTCAGCAGCAGCAGCAGCGCCACCGCTCGGGTCCTCAGGTCCAGCAGCAGCTCCACCGTCCGAGTCCTCAGTACCAGCAGCAGCGCCACCGCCCGGGTCCTCAGCTCCAGCAGCAGCTCCACCAGGCGGGTCCGCAGCACCAGCAGCAGCTCCAACGTCCGGGTCCTCAGCACCAGCAGCAGCGCCACCCCCAGGGTCCGCAGCACCAGGAGCTCCACTCCGAAGACTGCAGCGCCGTGTGTACCACTCGCGGATCTGCTGAATGGGGGGGAGCTCCTGGGGAGGAGGGGAAGTACCGGGACGAGCTCCAGCAGCACCTCTCCGGAGGCGGCAGTACTCGAGGTACCTCTCCTGCAGCTGCTGGGAGGAGAGGGCTCCTCCAGGTGTAGCACGCTCAGGCTCAGCACCCCCAGACGCAGCACCCCCAGACGCAGCACCCCCAGGCGCAGCACCTCCAGGCTCAGCACCCCCAGACTCAGCACCCCCAGGCTCAGCACCCCCAGACGCAGCACCCCCAGGCTCAGCACCCCGAGCAGGACGAGAGTCAACAGCTACCTCGACAGGCTCACCCGGGTCTACCTGGGACACACCTGAGGGAGCGGCACCCTGAGGGGGGAGGGGGTCTGGTACCTCAGCACCTGGAGCGAGGAAGAGAGGCGGGGGGGGGAGCGGGGTAGTGCGGTAGGGGAAGAGGCGGTAGTAGGGGACGGACTCGTCAAAAGTGACGTCCTGAGAGGCCAGGACACGCCGCGAGGTGGGGTGGTAGAACTGCCAACCAGGGGCGTCCGGGACAAAGCCAAGGAAGACGCAGGGGACAGCACGACGGGAGAGCTTGTCCGCGGACGTGTCGCGGACAAAAGCTCGGGATCCCCAGACCCGAAAACGCGACGCATCGCCAGCCTCTCCCGTCCAACGCAGTGTCGGAGAAGTCTCGGGCAAGGAGACACGGGGCCAGAGGTTGAGCTGATGCGCAGCGTATCGGACTGCAAACGGCCACAGAAAATGGGGGCAGCCGCATGGCTCAAGGAGGTACGAGCGACCTCCATGACCAGACCAATGCGGCGCTCAGCAACCCCATTCTGCTGTGGAGAGTCCGGAAGCGTGTACGACTGCTCAATGCCCTCCTGCTGACAGAAGGCCTCCAATAGGCCAGAGGAGAACTCCCCACCTCTGTCAGAGTGCAGACGCAGGACAGGGAAGTCGGAGCGGAAACGCTCACGGAGCTGGAGACGAGATCTGCGGATCCAAGGGATCAAGACATCAGGGACGTCACCCTTGGCGCGCAAGGGGAAGACCGTGGTGTAGCGCGAGAAGTCGTCAACAACTATCAGGAAGTACCTCTCCTGACCCTGACCACGGACGCGGGCTGGGCCCCACACGTCCATGTGGAGCGTCTGCAAGGGGGCAGTCGTCGGGGGAAAGGAGGAGGAGTGAGGAGCGGCGCGCTGCCGTCCCTCGACACAGGGAAGACAGGGAGGAGCAGGTGAGTCGGGAAGGGGAGGGAGCACCCTGGGAAGACCAGCAACAAGGTCCCGCTGGTGCATGGCCCGAAGGCGCTGCACAGATGGGTGACCAAGGCGGTGGTGCCAAAGGACAGTCTCATGTGCCAGAGAGCGACACGAGCAGGGGGCGGACAGCTGACCTGACGCAGACGCAGACACAGACGCAGACGCAGCTACCTGAGGGGACACAGTGGTCAGTGTGTAAAGGTCCGACCCCGGCTCCCGAGTGAAGGTAGCCAGGTGGCGACCCGTCCGAGCACACGTGCAGTGTGTCACGCGCTCGTAGGCAGGGGTGAACTGGTGAACACCCCCGTCCTGGAGCGCACTACCTGCCACCAAGTTCGTCGAGAACGAGGGGAGGTAGAGACCGGACAGCGTGCCGGACGGGACCGCCGGACAAGGAAGGACAGTGGAGGAGGTCGCAATGACCGGACCCCCAGAGGGGTCAGCAAGGGAGACAGCAACTGGCCGAGCGAGGGGCTCAAGGACAGTGCGGTCACGAAAGAAAGAGCGAGAAGCACCTGAGTCCAGTGTGAAGGTGTGCAGTGCTGCAGTCGACTCAGTACCAGGGGGCACAGACGCACTAGCACCTAGGGCAGCAGCCTCACCAGGACCTGCGGGAGCGGACGCACTAGCACCTAGAGCGGCAGCCGGACTGGCCTGAATGCCCGGGTCGGGCGGAACACGCAAGTACTGAGCACCCTCTCCACTAATAGACATCACATACATGGCAGTGAGAATAGCATCAAAGTCTAAAGCCCAAATATCAACACCCCTCTTTTCCAGCTCAGCCCAGCGCGGCAGCTCAGTGGCAGTAGGAAACTGGGTGCGCCACGCGTCGGTAAGGCGGGCGAAGCAGCGCTGCGTGGGGTGCAGCCTCCCACACTGCTGGCCGGTGCGGTCACCTGTGCGAATGACGTACGTGCAGGTAAAGCCACGCTGCGCATACCACTCACGGGCGGCCTGAAGCGTCGGGGCGGGCTGCTGACTCTGCCCTCCGCCAGTGCCCCCACGACCACCACCCCCTCCGCCTCCGCCCCGGCCACCTCCACCCCTGCCGCCACCACGACCACCTCCGCCTCCGCTGCCGCCTCCGCCCCTGCCACCACTCCCGCCGCTGCTGTCGCCTCCCCCACTACCGCCACTAGCCTCCTCAGCCGCGCCTCCACTCCCACCGCCTCCACCCCCACCTCCTCCGCCGCCACCCCCGCCCCTGTTCCCTTTGCCCCTGCGGCGCCCGCTCGAAGCAGACGCGGTCCCGACCTTCTCAGCACCAAGGAGGTCGACAGCAGCAGCAGAGGCGACAGAGGGGAGGAGGGGGGAAGGGGAACACCCCTCGAAGAACGGGGTGCGGGGGTCGCCACGAGAGGTGCCTACAGCGACGATGCTCGCCTCAGCTGCAAGCAGTTCCTTCTCGAGGAGGGCAACAGTGAGCTCAGTGGGGGAGCGAGAGAGGAAGTGGTCCCTGACTGCGCGCAGAGAGTCAGGGAGGCGGGTGACGATGTGGTAGAGAGTGATCCAGAGCGGGGGGGGGTTGCTAGTGAGAAACTCGGCAGGCATAGCAGCGCGAAAGCGGGCCTCACTAGTCTTAAGGTGGGTGATGAGGTCTGCGACAGTGTGAAAGGAGGCTAGGTCGGGGAACAGGTAGGGAAGAGTGAGGCGGCCTAGCGTAGCAGAAGCGGGTGAGGAGTAACGGGCAACTACAGCGGTGTAGAGGTCCCTAGCAGTCTTGCACTGGCCAAAGTGCTCGCGCTCATCTAACGGCAGGGAGTTGCGGATGGCAAAGCGAGCGTGGGCGTCACGAGTCTGCCACTGGGAGCGGGTAGTGCTGTCAGCATCAGTAGCAGGGGCAGGAGCATGGCCGAGGGCGTGGTCATACAGTGAGATGTCCTCCTTGGCAGTGAGCTGTAGGAAAAGGTGCAGGTCATCGAGCCAGGTGTCAAACTTCACTGGGCGGCCCTCAGCATCGAAAGCAAGTACGGGAGGACTGGCCATAGTGGTAGCCGTAGTAGCAGTAGTAGCAGTAGCAGTAGCAGTAGGATCAACAGGGCTGCTAGAACGGTCGACGCGGCTCGGTAGGGCGGCGCGGCTCAGTTCAGGTAGGGCGGCGCGGCTCGGTTCGGGCTGCGCGGCTGCGCGAAGCCGCTAAGAGGGGCGGGACTGGGTCGCGGGGGCCTCTAAGCGGGGCTCGACGGGGCCGTGGGGCCGCTAAGCGGGGCGCGCGCGGGGTCGAGGGACCGTGTGGTGGCGGACGACGGGGCCGCGGGGCCTCTAAGCGGGGCGCGCGCGGGGTCGACGGGGCCAGCGGGGCCTCTAAGCGGGGCACGCGTGGGGTCGACGGGGCCAAACGGGGCCGTAAGCGGGGCGCGCGCGGGTCGACGGGGCCAAACGGGGCCACTAAGCGGGGCGCGAAGGGGTCGACGGGGCCAAACGGGGCCGTAAGCGGGGCGCGCGCGGGTCGACGGGGCCAAACGGGGCCGTAAGCGGGGCGCGCATAGGGCGACGGGGCCAAACGGGGCCTCTAAGCGGGGTGCGGGCGGGTCGACGGGGCCAAACGGGGCCGTAAGCGGGGCGCGCGCGGGTCGACGGGGCTAAGCGGGGCCACTAAGCGGGCCGCGGGCGGGTCGACGGGGCCAAACGGGGCCTTAAGCGGGGCGCGCACGGGTCGACGGGGCCTCTAAGGCGCGACGCGCGAGTCACTAAGGGGCGGCGCGCGGGGTCGACGGGGCCTTAAGGGGCCGTACACGAGGGCGCACGAGGGCGCTGAGGGGGAGGCGCTAACGCGACGCTCCGACAGTAGATAGGTAGGTAGGTAGTCAGTGGTGGGCCCTAAGAACGGTCCTAGCGAAGGACCTGCTCTGAAACCATGTCAGAAAGAAGAGACTGGAATGATTGAACTAACAGAGAAATCAGTACAAATAGCAAACCCTAGAATTGTGTACCCCATATAGGCTAACCCACTGTAGCCTAACAAACCCAACATATATAATGTTTGACAGGTGCGATCTGTCCGTCATGGTGGCTGAGGGGGAAGAACACCGCATCAGGCTCAACTATCACCCCAAGGTGAATGGCTGCTACCCTTTGTAAGGCTAATACGACTTCAGGCGCATGTCTGCAGTCAAAGAAAGGGTGTGGAAGTGTCTTCATTTCAGAGCTATCGCAGCATGGGCAGATACCATTGGAGCTCGTGAATCGGAACCAGGCTCCCGTAGACACGGACCGAGTACAGAGACGGAATAGTACATCTCTCTGCCAGCTAGTCTGATCCCTTAGGAATGAATGCGTACAGTCAGGTAAGGTGGGAATGGAGATGTGAAAGATTTCATCCCAGTAGGCCATGTGCGTGAGCGGTTGTTGTTGGAATAAGCACTTGCGGATGGTGGCGAGGGACGTGTTTTGTGCAATGAGTTCGTGACGCGCTACGAGTCCTGCTCCGGAGCAGAAGAGTCCCGCCAGCCAGCTCCCGCACACCAGCACCGCGGTAAGCTCCTAGATGTAGCAAATGAGATATATTTGCTTGTCTGGAAAATCGGATGAAAAAAAAAGTCTGATTTTCATACCATCAGACCGATTTGGTCTGATAACAAGAGCCCTAGTTGTTGCCTGTGTGCCCGTGTTGACCATCGCGCCTGCCGAAGGCCACCGTGGTCAACGGACCCTTCCGTCGACCACCCAGGTATGCTGCAGCGGTCGAGCACCCCTCGTTGACGGCTCTGCGACAGTCTCGCGCAGGTCGACAAACTGATTCGTCGACCTCCCCTGTCCAACTAGATCGCCGGCTCCCCTCGACGGCGGCCCTACAACGGTCGCCTGCACGTCGGCCACCTCCGTCGACCTGCACGCATCGAACTCTTCAGGACACTCGGCCGCACCATTCGCGCGCCCGACTGGGGAGTCATCGTCGCCCAAGCGAGGGCGGGGCCAACAACCCACTCCCGTCAACACTCCCCTGCCGCGCTCACGCTTGGGCCCCCAGCCCACACGGCAGAACTTCACAAAGAAAACTCGTCGCAGGCGTGCACACCACAAACAACACGCCGTCACTGCACCAGACGTGTAGAAGGGCATGGCACCTACTGCTGCACCTCGTCATCCCTGTCGCCGACGTCCACCAGACGCACCCTGGCCGATCACGACGGAGCACCAGTTGAAGGCCGGAAAGTGCGGCACCCTCGTCAGGAAATCGGATGGCTGCTCGGAAGTCGGGATGTACTTCAGCACGAACTTCCCGCGCTTCACCATCTGCTGCAGCCAGGCGTAGCGTCGCTCCATGTGCTTGAGGTTGCCCGTCAGCCCCAAGCCCTCAGCGACCGTGATTGCCGACTTGTTGTCCACCCGCAGGACAGTCGGCGTCCCAGCGTCGAGCAGCTGAAACTCAACAAGAAGGAAGCGAAGTCGGCGCCCCTCCTTGCCAGCTTCCGTGGCTGCGATTTACTCCAACTCGGTCAAGGAGAGTGTCGCGCACTTGATGCGCTGGCTCGACTAGGAGACTGCGGCCCCTCCGTAGACGAACACGTAGCCGCCCGTGCTCGTCCGGTTCTGCTTGTCGCCCGCGTCGTCGGCGTCCACGTAGCCGACCAGCTTCAGCGACTCTTGTTCACCGCCAAACTCCAGGGCGATGTCACGGGTATCGACGAGGTAGGCGAGGCAGAGGTCGACCTCGCGCCACTACTAGTCGCTCCTCACCGTCAGGCCGCTTCCCAGCTTGCTGCATACGAAGGCAATGTCCGGCCTCGTCGTCGTCGCCACGAACTGCAGCGAGCCGACCTTCTGTCGGTACTCCTCCTCCTCGCGCTCCTGAGCTTCCTCGTTGTCGAACGTCAGCTCAGCGTAGGCGTCGACGAAGACCGGTGTCTTCGGGATCCGCCCGGTCTGCTCCTCTTCGATGAAGCATCTGCGTAGCTTGTCGATGTAGTCCTGCTGGTGCAGCCACAACTTCCTCACTGGCCTGTTACGCACGATCTCCAGCCCGAGGTACTTCACGACCGGCGAGATCTCGCGCAGCTCGAAGGCGGCCTCCAACAGCTCCTTCAGCTCCT